GAAATTCCTTTGGATATTGGATACTGGATGCTTGGCGTATAAATCACCAAAATGCCCCCATCGAGGAAAGGCCCGATACCGGAGGAATTCGAGGAGATAAAGCTCTCTATCCACTCCCTGTGCGGCGATGTGGCTGCGGTTAGAGCGCAGCAGGATCAGCTCCTGGGACTACTGGAGGAGGTGAAACAACTACGCCTCCAGAACGCGGAAAAAGACCAGCGTATTGTGGATCTTGAGCGGAGAGTGGACGAGCTGGAACAATACTCCCGCATGAATGACGTGGTCATCACCGGGATTAAGATCAGGCCGCGCTCCTATGCGCGTGCGGTGGCCACGGACACCGGGGAGCCCAGCGACCAGGAGACACAGTCGGTGGAACAACAGGTTGCTTCCTACCTCCAGAACAGGGGGATAGAGATGGACCTGGAGCACATCGAGGCGTGTCACCCACTGCCCACGAAGAATGAGAGACCACCAGCGGTCATCATGAGGTTTACCAATCGAAAAAAGAAAATAGCACTCCTGAAGCAAGGACGCAAACTGAAAGGCACAAATGTTTTCATAAATGAACACTTGACAAAGAAAAATGCTGACATCTCAAGGATTGCACGACAACTTAAAAAAACAAGGCAAGATTCAACAAACCTGGGTAACTAACTGTAAGATCTTCATCAAACTAAATGGGACACCGGAGGAAGCAAAAGTTTTGATGGTGAAGAGGATAGAAGATCTCGATAAGTATTGACATTGATGCAGCACCTGGTATCAAAGTAGCTTGTGACTCCATACACTAACAAATGCTATACAAACCAAGAACACAGACTACATCAAGTGTTGATATGGACATGCTACAGAACATTCTACAACATCAACAAATGGAACTGGAGACGTGTGAGTATCAAGTGCACACCACAACAGAGCCTGATACTGAGATAGACCCTGACAATAACTTTTTCTCTTCGATTGCTAAAAACTGCAATTATCTTACCCAAGAACAATATGAAAACAGTGTAAAACCAGAAGGTAATCTGTCAATAATACATTTTAACAGTCGAAGCATGTACACCAACTTTGAATCTATCAAAGATTATTTGGAACACTTCGCTCATCCATTTAGCATTATTGCAATTACTGAAACCTGGTTTAATGATGATAAAGGTATTGATTTTTGTCTTGATGGCTATGAATTAAGATATACAAACAGAATAAACAAAATAGGAGGGGGGGTTGCTTTGTACATCCACAAATCAATTCAATTTAGTGTTTCAACTGATATGACCATAGCTGTGGATGGCTTATTTGAATGCATAACAGTGGAGATTCATAATGATAAAAAGACAAATATCTTCATGAGTTGTGTATACCGGGCACCTGGTTCAAGCATAGAAACTTTTAATGAGTGGATGGGTAAACTGTATTCTACTGTGAACCAAAAAAACATATTTATCTGTGGTGATTTTAACATTGACTTGTTAAATCCAACCAAACTAAAAAACGTTGATGACTTCACTGACACAATGTATAGCTTGTCGCTGTACCCAACTATAACGAAACCGAGTAGAATAACGTCACATAGTGCCACAATCATTGACAACATCTTTACTAATATGATGGGAAATCAAATCATCAGTGGCCTACTCATATGTGAAGTCACTGATCACTTACCTGTTTTTACTTTGTATGACTGTAACCTCAAGAAAACTAAAGATACTATGGCAAAAATCTCTACACGAAAAATCACTGAGGACATGATCTGTGCCTTAAACAATAGTTTAGCACTCCAGGATTGGACTTCAGTTTACAGAGAATCAAATGTGGACAGTGCTTATTGTAATTTTTTAGATATTTTCACTTGCCTACACAATAAACATTGCCCTGTGAAAGAATATACAATAAAGGAAAAACACAAAAAAAGTCCCTGGATTACGAAAGGAATAATTAATGCTTGTAAAAAGAAAAATAATCTCTATAAAGTGTTTATTAAAGAAAAAACAATAGAAGTGGAACAAAGATATAAGAAGTACAAAAATAAATTAACTGATATTATAAGAACAAGCAAACGGTCATATTATCAAAAAAAACTATATGAACATAAAAATAATATAAAAGGAACTTGGGATGTTTTGAATAGCCTAATCAAACAAGGATCCTCAAAGTTGATATATCCTGATCACTTTATTGATGAAATTGGTGAAGAATATAATATGAGTAATGTAGTAAATAAGTTTAACAAGTTTTTTGTAAATGTTGGCCCCAAGTTGGCCGCTGACATTCCAGACAATGGAGCTATAAGATCAACTATTGAACGGAATTCCTTTTCATTCTTCCTCTCAGCTACAAATGAGCAGGAAGTAACAAACATTGTCTGTGAATGTAAAAATAAGTTCTCCACCGACTGTCATGATATCAGTATGACATTGATTAAAAAAGTTATATTGAATATTGTAAAACCCTTAACGTACATTTGTAATTTGTCATTCCAAACTGGCTGCTTCCCAAGTAAAATGAAAATCGCTAAAGTAATTCCAATTTTCAAACAGGATAACAAACACGTTTTTACTAATTACAGACCAATCTCTCTTTTGCCTCAGTTTTCAAAAATTCTGGAGAAGCTTTTCAGTTCTCGACTTGAAAGGTTTCTTGAGAAATATCATGTAATTAATGATGGCCAGTATGGCTTTAGGCCCAAAAGAACTACCTCGATGGCAATAACTGAAGCTGTTGAAGAAATTACTAATGCACTAGAGCAAAAAAAGTATGCAGTTGGTATCTTTATTGATCTAAGAAAAGCCTTTGATACTATTAATCACACAATCTTGTTAAATAAGATGGAAAGATATGGAATTAGGGGGCTGGCTGGAGATTGGTTAAAAAGTTATTTAACAGGGAGGTCACAGTTTGTAAAAATGGGTCAGTATTTATCAGACACTCTTGGCATAGTTTGTGGTGTCCCCCAGGGGTCAGTGTTGGGGCCAAAATTATTTAACGTGTATATAAATGATATTTTTACTATATCCAAAGTACTGAAACTCATACTATTTGCAGACGACACGAATATATTCTATAGTAGTGATGATTATAAGGAGCTCGTAAATGTGGTAAACAGGGAATTAAATATAATAAAAAAATGGATGGATACAAACAAATTATCTTTGAACATAAACAAAACTAAAATAATGATGTTTGGTAATCGTAGCAAATTGATTGAACAGAGAATAAGTATTGGTGATACCCAAATTGAAATTGTGAGTGAGTATAAATTTTGGGGGTAATAATCGACAGTAAATTGTCTTGGAAGCCCCATGTCAGACACATTAAAAGAAAAATCTCCAAAAGCCTCTCAATTATAAACAAAGCAAAACTATACCTTGATAAAAATGCACTCCGTACCCTATACTGCACTTTGGTACTACCATACCTTATGTATTGTGTTGAAGTGTGGGGAAATAATTATCAGAACACAATAAATCCTCTGATTATATTACAGAAAAGAGCCGTGAGGGTCATTCATAAGGTTGGTTACTTAGAACATACTCATAAGCTGTTTAAGCAGTCAAATTTGTTAAAACTCGATGATCTTGTAAAATATAATACAACAATAGTCCTCTATAAAGCATTTAACAACTTATTACCGCCTAACTTACAACGTTTTTTTCAAATTCCTGTGCGAGCTCATAACTTGAGAGGCTTTGGATATTTTTCGTTACCAAGAGCCCGAACTACTCGTAAACATTATTGTGTGTCTGTATGTGGAGTGAAACTCTGGAACAAACTGGACTTACAACAAAAGCAATGTCAAACTATCCATCAATTTAAATTGTCATATAAACATAGGGTCTGGTTAAAATACAGAGAGGAGGATTTTTAATTTATATTGATGTTGTACTCTGTCTTATAATGTTTACATGTGCTCAATGTTTCCTTACCATCGTTGGTATATTGTCCATTACCATCGTTGGTATATTGTCCATTACCATCATTGGTATATTGTTCATTACCATAGTTGGTATTGTTTATTCTTCTTAAACTGTTTGATAATGTTGTTATAATAAACTATTGTGACTGTGGTAACGCCACCATGATACAACCTATGTAAACAACCCGTGACCAAAGTAAACATGAAGCTTAATGTATTAATCACCAAGTGGTGAACTGGGGTGGGATTAAATACGTTTTCTTCTTCCCACTCCCTTTCAGGTAGAATTCGATTTGTTTTGTTTGTTGTTGTTTTTTTGTTTTTTTTGTTTGTTTTTTGTTGTTGTTTTTTTGTTTGTTTCTTGTTTCTTTTTGCACTGTATGACTTAACAAACATTTTGTCTGCCTTGTACTTTTGTGCCATTGCCTGAAATAAAAAAAAAAAAAAAAATAAAAAACATTTCATTCCAATGCTGTTCTGATATGCATGCACACTAAAAGTCTGTCAAACAGTGCCCAATTACTGGACATTATCTTTTGCATCTGATTGTGCTAATACTGTCAAATACACAGAAGGTTTACATAAACACAATTTGTTATGTCTAAAGTAAAAGCAATTAGTAGCATGTTTGGGTGTTAGACGTGTGTTGGTCTTAAAGTGACAGCAGCCTAATAGTAAACATGCTGCCCCTTGTCCTTAAAGGGATATTTCACCTCAAAATGAAAATTTTGTCATTTTTTACTCACTGTAATGTTGTTCCATACCTGTATTAATTTCTTTCTTCTGCTGAACATAAAAGAAGATATTTTGAAGAATGTGGGTAACCAAACAGTTGCTGCTGGTACCCATTGACTTCCATAGTAGGAAAAATATACTATGGAAGTCACTGGGGACCAGCAACTGTTTGGTTACCCACATTCTTCAAAATAACTTTTATGTTCAACTGAAGAAAGAAAGTAAGGGAATCCTGTATACACATTTACTCTGTCATTCCCAAGAGATAATATTCACATTTTTAGCAGGTTTCAAAAGCTCTTCTAGTCAAAATATGACAAAATAAGTGTTTGATATGTATTTAACTTAGGGGTGTTCTCTACACGGAGGGCACCAGTTTCGGTATTGAACCGTTGGAAGGTTCCTCCAGTGATGAGCACTTGGTGTATCGATTGGAGGATGTAAAGACTGAACCTCTCACCTGTGGAACGCCTCACTTTCATAACCATGATGATGAGGCTTCACCAAGACAATCCACAGACAGCCATGTCCACAACATCACCTTTGGTCAAAGCAGCCATCTAATCAGGGTGAGTCACTCCAAATCCCAATAATGATGAGCAATTGCACAAGCTTTAGAACACAGGTAATTAACAATAATTGTTGGGCTGCATGACGAAAGATTCCGTTTTACAGTACTTTGATGTGATAACTTCCCTAAATTTATCAATGTTTGTATTTGTTGCTATTTTCTTTCTTACCTGAAAACTCCAGTGAATTGTAAAGTAAATTGTATAAAATCAATATAAAATAAAAGTGAATTGACTGATTCCATTTGGGGTATTTTCAGATAAGAGTTTCAGAACTTCATGAATGGTCTTTAGTCATTGTATTATTGTTCTGATTATTTTTTTTTGTTTGTTTTGTTTTTTTTACTCCTAATTCATAATGTACCTGGCATCTTATTAAACGGCAAAGACTAAGATGAATCCTGACTCATCTGTACTTTATGGATGTTGTTTGGCAAGGAGAACAGTACACTAAATTACCATTGTATATGAAATTTGCCAATGCCATATAAATAAACTTGCCTTGCCTTACTATTCTACAATCTAAATCCCGACTGAAAAGCAGCCATGCTTTTCCAGCTGTAGTCCTAATCGAGGACTACAGCTGGAAAAAACCCCAGCTGTAGTCCTAATCGAGTCGTTTTTGTAGGCAATTATACTTCCTGATTTTTAAAAGATATCTCTGCTTACACTGAACTTTCAGCACTGCAACTTTACAGATACTGTTCATGCACCAACAGCAACATTACACACTATTTAAAATCAAAAAAGTGAAATCGCAGTCAACCCCCCCTTTAATGCTCTTCAGTTCACAATTTAATCCACACTACAAACAATGGTTGATCATCATTAGATGTCTCACAACTGTCTTCTGTTAGCCTTGTGAACTGTATTAATATTATTATTATAGTTTTTAATGGCATAATAATACAAGTTGAATTTGTAAAGAAAAATCATAATAAAAGTTAAGCTTACTTGTTATGCATCAGCAAACACAGCAAATCCCGACTGGAAATCCTTGCAAATACCATTTCTCTCCCAGAAGGCGCATAGTGAGGATTCTGCCACAAATGAATACCTAGGGTTTGTTTTCTTCTACGTAAATGAATAAAAAAAAAAGAAAATAAAAAAAGCTGATCTAGCAGTTTTAAGGCCTTTCTGTAGGTAGAAATATAATTCATCCACCCTAAGCAAAATACCACTACTTTTTATTTTCTTCCTGTTGAACACAATTTTTTGTATCATTTATCACATAATTTTTATAATTTTTGTTTTTATCTTTTCATTTATTACATTTTAAAGGCACATTACATTTTGTGATCAAGTACACACCATATGCATAGGTCTTTATATGCATATGGTGCATTATATGCATTATATGTGACAACATGGCTGCTTTTATATTTTAGAAACAGGATGACTTGCAAGGTCATATTTTATCACAGAAAAGGTGAAAAGTCACACATTTAAAAAAAAAAGTTCAATTCTGTCTTAAAGGGGGGGTTGACTGTTTTTTTTCTTTGCATGATTGTGTTTATGGGGTGGAATATACCATGCATTCGTGGTTTTTCTTTTTTAAAATTCTTATTTTTTTTTATAAATTTCACCTTTATTGTAATCCGCGCTCTCCTCTGTCCCATGAACGAGCGGTTGACTTCCTGATTCTATGAAACCACTTCCTCAGAAACACGCAGTGGGCTCAGATTGGTTAGTTTGGGCCGGTGTGTTGTGATTGGCTAAACTGTCGCTCACGTTGTCCGGAAGGTTAACGCCCATTACCTTTACGGGCGAAATGCGCATGCCAAAGGTCCAACCATGTAAATAAATGTGACGATACTATGGTCGATACTGTAGTATCAGTTTGAGGCAGAATCAGACCGAGAAAGCGGCGATAAAGAGAGTCAAGCAGAACCTCACCACACACGGCTCTTACTAAACGTTTCTGAATGATAATTTGCTACATTTTTTTAACTTTATACACGTTTGTTTTACACAATAGCATCTGATTGGCAACAATAGCAACTGACTGGCTACTAATGTTATACTCAAACAGCGTGACATTAGTTTACATTCTTGATCAAATCAAAAATAACATCATAAAGCATATATACATGAAAAATACGTTTAAAACATTAGTACTTATACAAAATTCAGGTCCATAATGTTTGTACGCGTTTGTCGTAGACACAAAATAGCATAATTAGTAGCCTATAGTGGCTATAAAGCCAGTGCTGGCATTTGAAAAAAAAAAAAAACCACAAGGCTACATCTGGAATTAAATATGCAAATACATTTAAAAAGATTAAATCTTAGCCTACTTACAGGTTGTGGCCCAACAACTGCTGCCTCTGGTTTTAAAGTTGGAACTGCTTCATGTTTTAGTAACAGTTTCTTGTTGAATCCGGCATTGAATTCGTGGAGATTCTGGAAGCTGTCTTCCGTAAATGCGCAGCACAGAGAGCTAAATTACGATCGTCATTTTCAGGAACATAATTAAACATAAATTGTATCCATTGTTGACGAAGTACAGCGTCCGTGGGAAGCTCAAACACAGAAGACCTGACAACTAACAAACATAAAGTGTATCCATTGTTAACAAAGAACAGCGTCCGTGCGTGGGAAGCTCGAACACAGAAGACCACACACTCGACGAGCCGCTTAAATATGCGCATGCCCTTTTCTGCATATTCCGGTGGGAGGGTTGATGCAAATGTATAGGTTAGTAACGTCTAAAACCCAGCTGTAGTCCTAATCGAATCAATGCCTTTTTGTAGGCAATTATACTTCCTGATTTTTAAAAGATGATATCTCTGCTTACACTGAACTTTCAGCGGTGCAACTTTACAGATACTGTTCATGCACCAACAGCAACATTACACACTATTTAAAATCAAAAAAGTGAAATCGCAGTCAACCCCCCCTTTAATGCTCTTCTGTTCACAATTTAATCCACACTACAAGCAATGGTTGATCATCATTAGATGTCTCACAACTGTCAACAGTCTTCTGTTAGCCTTGTGAACTGTATTAATATTATCATTATAGTTTTTAATGGTATAATAATACAAGTTGAATTTGTAAAGAAAAATCATAATAAAAGTTATGCTTACTTGTTATGTTATGCGTCAGCTAACACAGCTTAAAATTACACTCAATACTTTGTCTTTCCAAACAGAAAAAGAGGGCAGTGCTGCACCAGACACACTATGTAGAACTGTTTCTGGTGGTGGATAATGAGAGAGTAAGTAGTGTAAATCTTGTACCATATTCTCTTTTCTCATTGTCTGATATGTTACACAGCCCGCTCTTAAACTGAGAGCAGATAGTGTAAGAGAATTAAATGGAAGTGTGGAGACATTTATTAAACATTTGGAGATATGTGGGATGAAAATGTGATCGCACCTGCTTGGGTCATTACAGCATCAATGTGAGAATTGTTCCATGTGAGAAGTGCCCAATTTCTGAAAGTCTTTCTTGTTTTTCTCTTTTCTCTTTTCTACAGTATAACTTCAAAAACAAGAATCAAACAGCAGTTCGTGAGGAGATGGTTCAGATTGCTAACTATGTTGATAGTGTAAGTTATCTTGCATATTTTCAGATGGATGCAAATAATTCCTTTTATTCAATTCACATTTATTTGTATTTATTTATTTATTATATTGAAAATCATTATTTAAATATCATTAAAAACAAGGAGCAGTAAGAGGTCTAGGAAGCAAGGTGCGAAACTTTACAATTCACATAAGTAATGGAATGCATAGCTGTTATAAAAAAATGGATGACTAGTAAACTTAATTCTGAAATTGTAATTATTTAAACAAAAAAAATAATTACCTAGAATACTGTCTAACACTCTTGAAGTCTTCGTCATCATTTAGGAACGTGGGTGTGCTCTTTGATACCAATATTTTGTTCGAAAGTCATGTTTCTAGTATCTGTAAAAGCGCAATCTTCCATTTCAAAAATAAATCTAAATTACGTCATATGCTCTCAATGAAATGCAGAAAAGTTAGTTCATGCATTCATGACTTCAAGGCTAGATCATTGTAATGCTCTACTGGCTGGTTTCCCTGCACGCTTAATAAACAAAGTACAGCTGGTCCAAAACGCAGCAGCTCGAGTTCTTACTAGAACAAGGAAGTAGGACCATATTAGCCCGGTTCTGTCAACACTGCATTGGCTCCCTATAGACGAATCCGGCGAAACTACCGGAAGTAAGCAGGGCGCCATTACTGAGCTGTTTCTGGGTAGCGTTGCGCCATTGCCTCCTATTGTTTTAGTTGCAACTTGCGTCCACTGGAATAAACAGCCCGCGATTTACGACTGTCACTAACGTTACAACGTTACCCCTTGTATAATGTCGAGTGGGTAAACAGTTTCCGTTATAAATTGTTTCAATGGTGGCAGTAAAATTTCGATTTTGAAGAGAAAACACTGTGAATACCCCGGGTCGAGTGCCCCTGTCTGGTGCCGTACGGTTTACAGATTTCCTGGGCGAGTACAAGACGTGGACATTCGCGTATAATAACAATTATTTAATGACATAAGTAAAAAAAATATAATCAATATGTGATATAGTGATCAGCAAAATCTCCTCTCTTGCTATTTTTTCTATTCAATTAACATGCTATGGTCATTAAATGGCTTTCCTGAACTAAATGTAACGTTATGTGACATAATTGTTTTCCTGCTGTTATATTGACCTCTTTCCATGGTTTAAAAACACTAATTGGTCGATATTATGTATACTTTCTAGCTGTAACGTTACCTTACCCTTGCCTGTTGCAATGTGAAAATGAGATAAATAATGGACACGAATTTGTTTATTTGATTTCATTCATTTATTTATTTATTGTTGCCAAATGGACAGATCTTTTTATAGTTTCCTCGTGAGCAAACTTTAGCCTAGCTAGCTTGCCAAGCTATTTTCATAAATAACGTTAATCTGTAAGATCGTTTGTACCTTCATCTGTGACTGGAGGCCACTGCAGTCACAGATCAAACCAACAAGTCATTCTGCCTGGCTGTAGCTGTCATCGAGGGTGAGTTCGCGTTATCACCGAGGTTTGTTTACATACCGGTGCATATGTCTATATGCCTGTGTAACAGCTCAGTAATGGCGTCGCCACAAGATGGCAGCCTACACAGAACGCTCGTCGGATTCGTCTATACAGTGCATGCATTTTAAAATCTTGCTAATTACTTGCAAAGCACTAAATGGTTTAGCTCTCCAGTACTTAGCGAGCTCAGTAAGCGAGCTCTTAACACATTATATTGTGATCTCAAAATTCTGGCCAGTTAATAATACCTAGAATATCAAAAATCAGTTGGAGGTAGCCGGTAGATCCTTTCCCTATTTAGTCTTCCTAGCATTGTTCAGGAAGCAGACACAATCTGTCAGTTTAAATCTAGACTAAAAACACATCACTTTAACCTCAAAAGAACCACTGTAGAATCAAAAATCTCTGTTCCATCTTCAGCTTGTACAAAATGCTGCTGCTCGCTTTTTAACAAGTAACAAGTTCTATTTACTCTACACTGGCTTCCTGTGAGCTTTAGGATTGATTTTGAGATTTTATTGTTTGTTTTTAAAGCTGCGAATGGGCTAGCCCTTGAGTACTTGTCTGGGGGGATAGGGCCTTCACTGTTTCTGGCCCTAAACTCTGGAACAAGCTCCCCCCTGACATTCGTACTATAACGGTTGTACTTTTTAAAACAAAACTTGAAACGTATTTATTTAGAATGGCTTTTAATACACAGTAGTGGTGCAACATTTTTTTTCCTAATGATTTTGAGTATATCTAGCTGACTGTTTTTATGCTTCATGCTTTTGTTTTATTTTTGTTTGTTTTTAATTGAATGTTGTATTGTTTATTAGTACCTGATGTGAGGCACTTTGAACACCTGATGGCTGCTATAATGTGCTATATAAATAAAGATTGATTGATTGATTGACTTATAATTCAAATCATGAAAAATGGCTGCATAAATTAGGTCAGGAGGAACCGGGAACACTTCCTATAACACCTGATGTACTCATTAAATTATAAGCAGAATGGTGTCTTCGCTAATATTAGTCTCTCTGTTTATCCGGATGTTTACCGTACCAGATCAAATGGAGGACCTGTGCCCAGACATGACCACAACGCAGCCATGAAGTGTTGTACAGAAGAAAACGTTATCAAAATAATTCCCATTTACACACATCCACGGAAATGGCTAAAAACACTATAGTATGCATGCCAGACAAATAATTGGCAATGTCACTTTGTAAAGAAAGACTACACGCTTGCATTCAATTGCACATACCTATAGACTAAACATAATACGAATGTGCATGCCTTCCCCTTTTTCACAGATTCACGTTTTTGAAGTTTACGCAGAGATGATAACAGTATCGCTTTGAAAACCCTTTTCAAAAACTTGCACTTTGAAACCTACTTCAAAGTTTGTGTTTTCAGGCCACCAAAACGCTGTTGTCATATAAATGAACTGAGCGCATTAGAAGTTTTCTGTTTTCAGTTGTGTCGTGTAAGTGGCCCTTAAGTTAATAACGAATGATTTTTACAATGGAAATTAATCTATTAAAAACTTACTTAAGCTAGACAATGACTTTCTTCTAGAGCTGCTGATAAACCAAAACAATCTTAGTTGGATTAATTTCCTATTATCACTGTAAAGCTGCTTTGAAACAATCTGTATTGTAAAAAGTACTATATAAATGAAGGTGGCTTGACTTGTGTGATTTTTCTCACTTGATTGTTTTTCCTGCTTCCCCTTAGATGTACATGACTCTGAATATTCGTATTGTTTTGGTGGGGCTGGAGATCTGGTCTCAGCAGAACTTCATAAATATTGATGGCAGTGCTGGAGAGGTGCTGGGCCGTTTTACTCAATGGAGAGAGAAAGAACTAGTTCACCGTCGTCGTCATGACAGTGCACAGCTCATCCTGTAAGGGCCTTTCTCTGTTACATTTATATCAGATGTTAGAAGTGAGTCAGGAGAACATAAAATAATCAATAAATTCGTAGTAATATCACCCAAAGGTAGCTTGTACAGGGAACATACAGTAGGGATAAGGATCTAATACAAAGCCTTGTTGCACACCATAATTTGCCATTACAAGATGCCTCTTCAATTACATAAACAACATGCTAATATCACAGTGGCTGTAATGAAGTGCACGAGGAAATTGATAGAGAAAAAAAATAGTTATATATAAAATAAACAAGAAGAAACTTACACAACCTTGTTAACTAGGACAATACTGGACAAGAGAACTAAGGAAACACAGGGCTTAAATACATGGAGAGGTCTGAGATTACTCACATTACTTGCATTCTATAAGCCGGTTAAAGTCTGTAGATCTTGCAGTATTCAGGTATTGCTCTTAGCTAGAAACACTTCCTTTCCAAGGAAAACCAAAAACCTTTAGATTAGTTTTTGATTAAATGAATGATAGTTAACCAGATTAAATGATCGGTGCCGAAAAGAGAGTTTTTGCTTTGTAAAGTATATCTTCAAAAGATCCAAGAAAAATCCACTTTTCCATTATGTGATATATATTATATATAGGTTCACTTTAGATTTATTGTTCTATGAATAATGATGTGCAGTTATGGCTACAGAAATTCCCTGCCTGCCTGATTCTCTTTCACTCTTTTCACAGAAAGAAAGGATTTGGTGGAACAGCAGGCATGGCTTTCGTTGGCACGGCTTGTTCCAGAAGTCATGGTGGTGGAATTAATGCGGTATGAGATCTCTGATCCACTTCTCCTATGCTACAGATACTCACACACACTGTTAGTCAGTGTCTGCTGAACAGTGACTTTCACCAGTATCTAAATCTCTGTCTTTGTATGTATATGTGTGCACTTCCCCCCTCAGTTCACCAATAATAATGTGATGTCATTTTCCTCCATCGTGGCTCATGAGCTGGGTCATAATCTTGGGATGAACCATGATGATGGCCGAAACTGTAAATGCGATGTCACACATTGTATTATGAACTCAGGGGCAACGTGAGTGTTTTTTGTGTATAGTTTATTACAAATTTCAATATGCTGTGAGATTTTTGTTTTGACCCGTTTTTTTTGTCCTCAGTGGTTCTCGCAACTTTAGCAGCTGTAGTGCTGATGACTTTGAGAAGATGATCTTGAACTCAGGTGGCCGCTGTCTGCTGAACGTACCACGGCCGGACGAGGCATACAGCGCCCCCTTCTGCGGGAACAAGCTGGTGGATGTGGGCGAAGAGTGTGACTGTGGATCAGAGAAAGTGAGTCATCTGATTCCAGATCAGTTTAGAGCTGATCCTGATTTTACATTTTTAAAGAACGTGATAATTGTTGGCTGATTTAGTAACCAACTGTGCTGTTGAGCCATCATGAAGACCAGGGCTGCATGCAACGACTAATTAATAAAATCAGTTCTGATTAATAATGAATATAATTGTAGTAGTAAACGCATAAAAAAGAAATATCCTCTTATTTTACCTTTTTTTTTTCAACAAATGTCAAAAATAAATGTTTATAATATATATTATGGGGTGGTGAAGGCACAGTGGATAAGACACATGCCTTTGGTGTGAGAGACCTGGGTTTGAATCCACTGTGAGACACCAATGTGTCCCTGAGCAAGACACTTATCCCACATATATAGCAATTGTTAGTCGCTTTGGATAAAAGCGTCAGCTAAATGAATAAATAAATAATTTATATAAATATATATTATAATGTAATATTTGTATTGACATAAAATGATTCAACACCCAATAAAAACTGAAAATTTTACAGAGATTTGATGAACAGAAATAGAATAACAAGCCCTTGATGAAGGTTGAGGGTCAAATCAATATCAAAAGTAGCTGTCCATATATGGTGTGCTGCTTTAAGTACTATATTGCATTTCATCCCCATGGATTGCACCAAATTTGCAAGTTCTTGCGGTAAAATGTTACCCCACTCTTCCACCAAGGCATTGGCCTCAAACACCTCTGGGAGGACACATGCTTTGCAACCCACTGTAAGAGCGATCAGCTCTCTGCATACAGCACTGTCTTAGGTGTCTTACATTACTGACATTACAGATTATTGCTCTGGCCACATCCGCAGTCATCATGCCTCTCTGCGGCATGCCTATGGCATGTTCACTCAGGTGAGCAGGCACCCTAGGCATCTTTCTTCTGATGTTTTTTCAGAGTCAGTGGGAAGGTCTCTTTAATATCCTAAGTTATTGTAATTGTAACCTTGATTGTCTACCCTCTGTAAACCTCTTAGTGTCTTAAGGACTGTTCCACAGGTGAATGTATAATGATTGTTTATGGTTCATTGAACAAGCATGAAAAACTTTGTTTAAACCAGAGCATGTGACCGGAGCGGTAATTATCCCTCTGGGCTGTAGAGAACAAGCAATGAGTGAGCAGAGAGGAATCCTCTCTGCTCACTCATTGCTTGTTTAAACAATTATGAGCGGACTATGTCTATGGTTATGGAGTTATAATTAATATAAATATATTTAATATAAAAGTTGGGAATCTACATAAATGTACAGTAGTTAAGAACAAAAAAGGAGATAAAATTTAAAGGGAGAAACTGAGTTGGCAACGATTCTTTTTGTGATATACTCACAGTAAAGTTATTTTTTGTTCTTTGCTTAGGGGTTGTTTGAAATACCTTTGCAGCTGTTAGTGAACATCTCAAAGCCGTTCACCCAGCTGTGAATGGTGTTAAGATGAATATATACATGTGTGCCACTTTCCTCTCAAAAAACAAAATAAGCTAAAAATTGACTCTGAACTAAAATGAAATCGGTGAGAAAACAGCAGTAAAGAAAGTATCTGATCATAGCGATGTGGATATGTTTGACAGGGTTGATCATCTAGGCAAAAACTAAAAATATTAACTGTAATTACAATCAGAAATGCATATTCACGTTGGAGCACGTTACACTGCTCTGTCTTGCTGTGGTTTAAACCTATCCTGTGAAGCTTGTTTGGATTTTACAAAATTATCTTTTAAAATACAGTATCCTAAAAAAGGGATGTTTTGTTTTTTGCTCTCCATCCCTAATGAAGAATATTGAGAACTTCTGAAGGTTGATTATGTACGTGAATGTTTCAGGAGTGTGAGAAGGACCCGTGCTGTGAGCCGAAAACGTGTAAGCTGAGATCAGGTGCTCAGTGTGCGTTCGGGGTCTGCTGCAAGAATTGCAGGGTAATTCAAACTTTTTCTAACACTTTAGCTCTGCTCCTAACCTTGAGATGCAATGTTTTTATTGTTAACTTAAAGTTTTTTAATTAAAAAAAAAAAACATCTACAATATAATACTATTATTTATATACTATAATAATAGTAATGACACTAAAATAACACTGGCAAGATGCATGCCATGCTGGTTTATAAGATAACTTGTTCTGGGCTGGTAATGAATAAAAGGTAATACATGTATTCTGCAATGAGTTTAGACAAAATTTGTCTGGTTCAGTCATATATCTTTTTTCCATTAAAGCATCAAACTTGTCATCAAGCAGCTCACATGGATAGAACTAATATACATACATATGGCATTTGACATTATGCAGTTGTACTCTTTGCTCACATGTTCTGATTAATTTTTCTCTCTCGATCTGTCAGTTTTTACCTGGTGGCACCGAGTGCAGAAGCAGCACTGATGAATGTGATTTGGCAGAGTATTGTAACGGCACATCTGCCCTCTGTCAGAACGACGTCTACGTACAGAACGGCCATCCCTGCAAACAAGGCCAGGCTTACTGCTACAATGGCCAGTGCCAGCACTATGACACCCAGTGTCAGGCCATATTTGGCACAAGTGAGTTCACGATTTTGTACTTGTAGGGCTGGTTAATATAAGAATTAAGAATATTGTCTATTCAGTATTGATTAAAATAAAAGATATTCTGATATACATTTTTGCTTATATTCCCTACCTCTATTTGTCCTGGATCTAAGCATTAAAAAACTCATTTCAAAATGAGTATGAACAGTTAGTTAGAAAGACATAACCAACATTTTTGAGCTGATCATGTACTAATATCATATATAGTATTTTACATTACGTTGAAACAATAAATCAAAATGAGGGGCTGAAGATATCATGTTCATGTAATTATATGGTATAACACCAATATTATTTAGAAGTGTCAGAAAGTGTACATTCCAAATGTCTTTCATACTTCCTGTTACAGTAGATACTCTTAAATATTCTGGGCCATTTGAATCGCACAGATGGATAATAAACATACAGCAGAGCAGTATATCATCCAGTAATTTTGTAATTGGTTGTGTTGTGAACTTTTGCAGCATTTTTCTAAGCATTTTGCTTAATTTGCTGGTGTTTTTTGTTTTTTTTGTATTTGCATTTGTTTTCTTCAGTTGCTGCGCATTAAGCTCTATCTGCTACCGTAAGTTTACTTTATCCAGCAGAAAAATTTAGTTTGCATATCATCTGGCCATACAGCAATGGGATGTTTTGATGTTCCCTTTTTCACACAGTGTTAGTTTTCATGTGTTAGGGCTCACGTTCTTCAATAACAATGATAGAATATGACAGAACTTTTGTTTTAAAGCTAAACAAACACTGAATAACTCACTAAAAACTGGCCACGAGTTAAGGGTTTTAGTTTTTGTTTAACTAAAAATGAAAGAGAAAATAGAAGTTTATATTCTGTAAATGTAACCCATCTGTCTTTGGTTGTGTGTAGAGGCTAAAGCTGCTCCTGAGCTGTGCTTTAAGGATGTGAACTCCAAAGGTGATCGCTTTGGAAACTGTGGCTACCATTCCAGTGGATTTAAGAAGTGTGAAAGCAGGTACAGCACAAGATATACACCATTACAATTGAAATTAAAATTCACACTCAATTCTGAAATGTTATAAAAACATACACACGCTCTCATTCTTTTAGGAACGCCATGTGCGGGAAGCTACAGTGTGAGAACGTTCAATCGTCAGTCATTTTTGGCATCAAGCCATCAATCATCCAGACCCCCATTGCCGACACTACCTGCTGGGGTGTGGATTTCCTCCTGGGCTCTGATGTACCTGATCCCGGCATGGTCAACGAGGGCACCAAGTGTGGAGCTAATAAGGTGAAAGAGAAAATTTGAACATTCAAAGTTTCTGCTTAAATTATGCACACAGCTTGCCAAAATATGTTTGTTTAATTATTTTGCCACTTTCATGTATGTGCACATATTCTCAGGGATTCTGTGGGTCATAATTTGCCCTTACACAATTTAAGGCCTTAAAAAGTTCTTAAATCAGAGCAGAAAGTCTTCAATTCTTAAAATCATGGCATTAAATGTTGCATGCATTGCAAAAACAAATATTTTCTCAGTATTTATGTCCTTGAGATGCAAATGTAAGTCTTGAAAAATTGAACAAAATGAAGTGAGTTTATGCTTAAAAAAAGAACAAATACCGGTCAATGATTATGAAACTTTCCTTTGAGTTAAGTTGATTTTTCTGAGACCATTGGCAGATACTTATTTGTTCTTTTTTTTAATCATAGTCACTTCATTTTGATCAATTTCAAAGAAAATAAGAATACACATTTTATTCCATTTTGTATCTAAATGCAATTTGATTTAAGAATCTTTAGACATTTGTGAAAATAGCCAGAGACATGACGTAGTTCCACAGAAAGTAATATCTTTATTTTTCCACCCTCTCAAGATTTACTCTTTTCCAGACTCCCACGGTAACACATTCTCGCAGACTCCCACGATAATACATTCCCTTGCACATGGAAGTCAACTATCTCCCACTCTTCTTTAACCTTCAAATGGTCTTCGTTTCCTGTTTACACTTCTGGGCTTTGGGGTCTATATGACCCCAACAATTGATTGAGTAATGGGCTTTATGCCCAGCTGCACTACTTCCTGAACTTCAGCCAGCTCCTTGTTTCCTGTCTGCCATTATTGGCCAAATTGATTAATTCAGGTGTGCTTGACCTCAGTAGTCATGGCAACAATAATCGGACACACCTGAATTAATCAATTTGGCCAATAATGGCAGACAGGAAACAAGAAGCTGGCTGAAGTTCAGGAAGTAGTGCAGCTGGGCATAAAGCCAATTGTACAAAAAATATACGTTTTTAATCATACAAATAATATATATTTTTTTTGTTTACTTCTCATCTATTCATTAATGCTGTGTTTTTGGAGATATAAAGTACTTTTGTATCCACATACCACACAATTCCTCAACTACACCATTAGTTTGAATATGAAATATAATTTTTTTATGATGCATTGCATTTATGCTCTAGTTATAGGCCTTCATTTTGGTGTAAAAATTTTCATATTTATACTGTTTTTTTTTTTGTTTTTTTTTTGACACATGAAGAATATATATATATATATATATATATATATATATATATTTTTTTTTTTTTTTTCACATTTCCCATTCATTTCAATGTGGGGGTCATATTGGCTCCGAAGACCAGAAGTGTAAACATTTTTTTGATATACCTTCAGAACAACCGAATCAAGCCCAGTTTTTTTGTGTGTGTATAATGTATAAAAAGTCACAAAATCTTATTCCACTGAAGGGACTTTTTATTAAGTAAAAGTCGATTGGGGTCGTATTGACCCCATGACCCGATTGAGGGCTACATAAAAAATAAATGAATGGATGACTTTGACATATAAAACATTGTCATCAAATACAAACGATTTTCAGAACACAGTAACATTTAAGTGAGCTTGAGTATTTAAACAAGATAAATGCTCGATGGTTCAGATATTACAGTTTCCATACACCCTCATACAGCACTTTAAGAAGCATAAGTGAGGAAGCACCTTTCTTTGTCAAACAGTCAGCAAGTTGTGACTTGGCTTCTGACCAAAGCACTTCTTTGATTTTGTTAGCATGTAGGAACTCTTTGACACCACTTATTTCTAATCTTAGTCTCTTCTCTGTGACCAGATTTGTAGACTTAAGAGTATCAAAAAGGGAATGGTTATCAGTAACACAAATAAGGGGAAGCTTATTTGAGATCAGCTTTACCAGTGGTAAGGTTAGAGTAGAGCATAACCAAGAACAAAGCATTGTCAATAACATCTAACCTGGCAAGGGTTTCACCTTCATGTCTGATTTTCTTAGACTGCCAAAAGAGAGGAGAGAACTTTCCTGTTTTTTTTTTTCCATGAGGGCAATTAAAGACCCTCCCTATGTACCTCCATCTTGAAGATTGCCCAGTGAAGCATCACTGAAAACCACCAAACTCAAATCATCACTGTTGAAAAGTTGAAGAGTTGAAACTTAAGTGTGACCTTCCCTGACTTAAGTTTACGGATCACTTTGTTCACTTCATGTATGGATTGAACAGAAGCGTTCTTAATGTTGGATGCTAGGCTATATATTTCAAACACAACATCTAGTGTAGTTTGTTTAGCATTCCACAGAATCTGTCCTGTTTTGGACCTGAGTTGTTCTCTTTCTTTCTCGTTTAGTGGAGCCTCTCTCTGTAAAGCACGTGCTGCCTGTAAGTGAACTGGTTGTAAGTTTTCAATGTAACTGCTGATGCACCTGCACTACACCTTCCACAGTAGCAATGTTCATCCCAACGTATGAAAAACGTCCATGCTCTTCACGACCCATGTGAAATGCAGATTTAAGTACAGGGATGACATTAGTTACAAAGTGCTCTAAACCTGCCCCAGATAATCATCCACATGGCATGCCAGTACTCCTGTCACCTCAAACTGCTCCTTTTGCCAATAGAACACTGCAGGATCAACCTGTGACATTGTACCACCACTGTTCAGCATGAGTTCTTTGACCTTGTTGTACCGATAGAGGGAAGCGTCTGCAAGTCCATACACACATTTCTTTAGTTTCCACAACGCATTGTCTACGCCTGCTTCTGGTGGAGATGTCTCTTGAGAGTTCCATTCCCTGCAAAAATGCATACCTAATATCCATAGAATTTACTTTCCAAAAAAATTTGTTTTGACAAATAACAGCGAACAGCAGCCTGAGTGACTCTGATGCACATGTGGGAAAATCTTTTTATGTAATTCATGAATATTGACTTTTCAAAACCTCTCGCCACAAGGCGAGCTTTGGGCATCAGCACTGGTGTTACCACATTCAGTGAGAAGATCATTAACATGTGACATGTCTAAAGCTTCCTTTTGACCCTCGCTCCTATTTTGTTTAGATACTGCACGTTGTTCCAGTTTTTATATTGCCCTTTTGCTTTTCCTGCTCTGCCTAAAACTCTGGCAGTGTGCTTTGTACCATCATCTTTGTTTGTAAATGTCACTGACACTGTCTGACCTGTTCTCAGTTTGACACCAGTGGAACCCACTCCATTAGTTTATTTTTCATTCTCTATCTCATTAGTTTGTCTTGCGTCTTCTCTATCATTTGTTTCTGTGTTTTCAGAGATTTGCACGTACAGTATACATTAACACTCATTTCATCATCTGAATTCTTTCTTTACTATTTTCAGGAGCACCAGGTAGTATAGGTTTATCCTCATACTGGGCATTGACTTTCTTCAGCCTGGACTGGTGTACTCTGACAAGAATCCCACTATGTCTGATAAACACTACAGAGCCATCCTGACCGATAACTACAGCAGGGCCTTTCCACTCTGTATTGTTTGCTCATTTGTAGTACAATCTTTCTCCTGTCTCATACTTTTTATCTGTAGGCCTAAGCTGCTTTCGTAAAGCTCTTCTTATTCTTTCTTTGAATGCTCTTCTGGAAGCATGTAATGCTGCTAGGTATAGTCCCACTCTAGTACTCCTAGAAGTGCCCTCTAGAGCAGGCAGTTTATCAACCAAAACGGAGGGAAGATTAGGAATGTGACCAAACCATGCACATTGATCATACTGTTTTGGGCCATTACAGCCCAGTCTAGAGCAGTCTGCACACACGTTTTCCCTTTTCACCTTCAGGAGGATCTCAGTCAGTGTCATGTTGTGTCTCCAGCAGGCTGCTGCTCCAAGGACTGTATCCCACTGTAGTCTTCATCTCAGTGCTGAAATTTTCTGCCATCTCTCTTATCTCCCCATTGTTGAACTCGCCACCGTTGTCTGTGTATATTCGTTTGGGGGCACCACTTATACACTTATCTTCTGAAACAGTTTTAGTGGAACTGCCATCCAGCTCTTGAATGAATTCAGGCAGTTCAGCACTGACTGAGCACTCTCGTTCGTGAGACATGCTGTTATGTTCACCAAGTCCAACTCCATACCAAGAAAAGTGAGTCTGCATGGGGGAAAGCTTTCTCTTTTCCCAGGTGACCCGAAGAATCGAGACATGAACGATCGCTGCGAACCAAACTTGGGGACGAATGCATTAGAAGATGCATCTCTGTGTTGACATCTTGAACGGGAGCATGTGGAGGGCACGATTCAAGGCACTCAGGTCCAAGAATGGTCGTAACCCATCCAATTTTAAAGTATAGACTGTAAAACCCTGTCTTCATATCGGCTGAAGGGACCGGCTTTATTTCGTCCTTTGCCAGTAGAACAGCGCTCTCCGCACGCAGGACAGTAGCATCCTTATTCATCAACAACGTAAACTGGATGCTGCTGAACCTGGAGGGATGCCTGGCGAACTAAAACACATAGCCGAGTCTGATAGTCTGAATGGGCCAGTGGGGTCAGAGGGACAGCCGACGTACCAATAGTGGGGTAGCGTGGTGTTGCACAGCGTCCCAGAGTGGGGACCAAGTGCAACACTTACCTGGCTTTACGAGTGGGCAGAGGGTGCGTGAAAAGGCATTACATCCTCGAACCACACACCACTGCCGGCTGGCGATAAGAGAGGGATGAGAGTGGCAAGGCACATCGTAGTGGGACAGATGCCTTGAAGAATGAGCAGCTCACAATGGTTTGGAAGCTTGATGGAGCAGGCTTTTGGTTGCCTCAGCCTGCTTTTGGACTGCCGAGAACTACTGGGCACAGTCCTCGACAGCGTGGCCAAAAAGGCCACCTTGTGAGCATCAAGAAAGCGTGCTTTGTATTTGAGTATCTTCTTTTGTGTTCAGCAGAAGAAAGAATTGCATATAGGTTTGGAACAATTTGAAGGTGAATAAATTGAGTGTGTAAAACAGAATTTTTATTTTTGGGTGAACTATCCAAACACATTTGAAAGTATCCACTTGAGGTTTGACTGAGGGTATGATCAGATCTTTTTTCCATGACAAAACATAGTTTGAAATCTTTTTTTTTTTTTTTTACATTTCATCCGCACACTGTATTTTTTATTATTTTTTTTGACTTCGGAAAAACAAACCTCTTATCATTTATATTGCAGGTTTGTCTGAATTTTGAGTGCAAAAGTGCAGATGTGCTGAAATACGACTGTGACGTTGAAAAGAAATGCCATGGCCATGGGGTACGTATGCATACACTACCCACAATTCAATGCCACTATTTGAAATACATGTATTTAACCACCTGTTTTTTTGTTTTTTGTTTTATCCTAATCCTAAATACTTAGAGTTCTACATCTTTGTAAAATGTGTGCTGAGTGTTTGTGATTGACTACTTTAAGGTGTGTAACAGCAATAAAAACTGCCACTGTTATAATGGCTGGGCTCATCCATTCTGTGAGGCCTCTGGTTATGGAGGAAGCATCGATAGCGGCCCCACCTGGGACGGTAAGGCTGCTTAACGGCACAATTAGAGCTTCACAAAAGATTATCAGTACCTTTAACTCGTGTCACCTGTAAATGTGATTTCTAGTGCTGTCGATTGATTAAAAATTTAATTAAATTCTCTCTCTCTCTCTCTCTCTCTCTCTCTCTCTCTCTCTCTCTCTCTCTCTCTCTCTCTCTCTCTTTCTCTCTGACTCTCACTCAGATAAAGATACTTCCACAAGGGATGGTCTTCTTGTGTTCTTTTTCCTTGTCCTCCCTCTTTTGGCATTGGGTTTATTTGTGTTCTTCAAGAGGAATGAGCTGAGGCAACGTTTGTTCAGAAAGAAACGCTCGCAGGGTTATGAGTGAGTATGAAGAGTGACATATACTTACCATTTAACTGATGTCATCAACTCTGAACAAACCCATTATGTTCTTTAAATGATAACTGAAAATGAATGGTTGAAAACTGAAATGAGTGGATGCCCTTAGTTGAAAATTAAATTATTCTCTTTTTGAATTTCTGTTCATTTGTTATTGAACACTCAGTCATGCATAATCAATAAATTAAAGGTGAACAGCAAAATAATTAAATAATAAAAAGCTAGTAATTAAAAGTTTACACAGTTAATAATGAATTTAAAACACTAAATTAAAATAAATAAATGTAAAATAAATACAATAAAAATAAAACACAAAAAATGTAAAAATAAATATTTTGTTTACCTGCATGTAATGTGACCATTTACCAGCATCAGAGAACTGTGAATATAGAAATGTGTTGTTAAATTATTCACATATTCATTTTAAATTGTGAGAAGTATTTCAAGTAAATGTTTTAGGTCAAAGGGTTTGGCTCCCAATCATAATCAAGCATTCAACAGTGCCTCAGTGTAACAGCAAATATTTAAAAGGCTTATCAAAAACAATTCTAATATGTCAGAATTGCGATGTATATGTGTGCTCAATACATGTTGTTGCTGTCTCCCAAAGAAAGAACTGTTTCTGAACTGCCTGAAACAAGTCGTCAGTAATTCCAGTCTTAATACAGTACCTGCACGAACCTATGTAGGATTGTTGTAACACATACAATTCTACATGCATAATGCTCTTCATTGGCTGCCCGTGAACAACATTTACTTTGACCCGCCCTCACACACTAGTTATAGTTAAGGCCTACGTCAAGGCAACCAATGCCATCTTTACTGTTCGTACCACTGTGTATACAAGTGCTGAGGAAGCCTCCTGACACACTGTAAGCGGTAGGCCAATCACAACAGACTTTCCATGTTTCTGTCTGACCAATCAGAGCAGGCTCACAGAAAAGAATGGTTTTAGAGTGACTGAATCCTTTATTAAACCGCAGGTGATGCTGCAATGTATATAATGAGAAATTGAATTTTGTGTTTTGTATCGTATTTGCATTTAAACCTACTGTAGTAGACCTCCAAAAACTAAATTAGAGACCTTGAAAATGGCATATTGGTGCACTGTAAATGTTTTGGTGTTTTTTGGAGGAAATGCATTGAACAATGTTTAGTGTGTTACATATTTTTTAATATTGATCAGCATTCTTTGCTTGTTTCCTCAGAGCTGACAGCAGACCGCAGGCTACTGTGTCCCAGCGGGGAAACCCCAATCGTATAGTAAAGGATGGGGTGAGTGAGCAACACTACATTTCACTGACTACCATACTGCCGATGTTTAATTCACTAAATGTAGTGCTAACGTGAATCTAACATGTGTAATTAACCTATAGTTCTGTAAAATTTTGTCATTTTTTCCAGTATATGTGCCTGAGCATAACACAACTTTTCAAATGCCCACTAAACGCCTGAGTAATAACAATGCAACAGAAACTTAACTAGCCAGTAAATTAGTTCATTACTGTTTGAAGAGGGAAAACAAGTTTGAAACCTTCCCATTTAAACAAAACATTTCCATTGCATTTCCATTTCTTTCTATTTGGAAAGAACAATTCATAAGAACAGGTTCATGAGAAATCGTCTGTCCTTCACATTTAACTTAAGTTATTAAATGTTACATCTCGGTTCTAAACAATTGTCTGCTGATATAAAGATAATGACTAGGCTCCTCTTTTTTTCTCTCTTTTTTGATAAAGCACCAGGCTCAGTTATTGCCACAAGAGGAGGTAAATAACTGCATACTATTTATTTAAGACGGTTTTACTGTATTTATACTGTGGGCCATCTCTGTTGCTGTTGCATTTAAAGTACCCTTTCTTCTTCTCTGCATTGGTCCTAACCTTTCTTTCTCTCCTTACACTTTGTCTTTTGTAAGAACGACACAAGCCATGTGCTCAGAAGAACCATCTTGCACATTAATTGAATTAAATCATTCATTATTGTTTAATGAAATATTAAATCATTTAAATAAATTAAATAATTCATTTTATTTTATGACATTAAATAATCATTATAGTAATAATAATAATATATTTGATTTACATCTACTGACCCTGACTTGATGTACATTTAATTCTCACTTCAGCACTTCAGGATATTTTTTCAGAGCTTTATTTTTTCAGACATTAATTAATATGCAAAGGAATGTATAGAATGTATAGAGATTCTCATCTCTGGCTTTTAAGGTCCAGTTTCCTGCAGAGTTTAGCTTGTAATCTCACCAGTTTTTAATTTTCTAGTAATCCTAAACATAGACAATAAAGACATAGACGCCTCATTGGCTGCTTTGGCTCTTTGCTGTGATACGTCTGCCATATTGGACCGGGCAAGACTGCTGTATAAATCCTATATGCTTAGTTTTATGTGATTTTATTTTGTTCTGATAGCTATTATGTCACTAATGTTAATTCATTTAAATCTTATTTAGTTAGTTAATTTATTCTTAAGTTACCCATCATGCATATGTTTGTACAGTAGTAACAGGAGTTTCTGTCTCTTTGCAGGTGGTACAAACGAATAAATCAGCTTCTGTGCCATCTTACGCCACCAGACCGCCACCACCACCATTTGCACGGTAATAATATACAGTACAATACCGTTCAAAATTTTGGGTCAGCAAAATTGCGCAATATTTAATGTTAAAAATACCTGTTTTTCTAACCCATACATGCTTAAACAATTGCCTGATGGGCTGAATGAGCCCTCCTCTGATCACTGCGATTGCCTCTATAATCCTGTACAGTAAAATAAATAAAAGGGATTCGGGACGGAATTTGAGACTGGGCGTGACGTCATGCGTGTTTACGCTCACCTGGCGATGTCTGACTGGTTTGTGTATTCACCGCCATTCTCCGTATCAGCAAAGACAACTATAGTAGTGACAAAACTTTAGTCAACTTTCGACAAAAGTAGAAGGTGGATTCAAAGAGACCGGCTTGTAGTTCATTCCAAACCCCAATTCAAACTCCACGTAAGACAAAGAAAATGAAACTTTTGTCCAGTGCCAGGCGTCAGAATAAGACGAGAGTCAACATCGGGAAGGCTTTCAACAAATGGAGAGATGTCTGGTTTGCTCTAGGGCTCAAACGGGATCCTATACAATGTAATATCTTATATTGTTCATGAACATGTTTCCATAATAATACAATCATAAATGGATACAGTAAGCACATAAAACAGTTCAACATGGAGATAGATGGAAACAAAAACCGAAGTTTTCTACTACCCCCGTTTTCCCCTCACACATAAGTGTGTAATTTACTCAAATGCCTTTCCTTTCATATATTTAAAATGACTTGCAGATTTATAACTTTATTACCTCTGAAGACATTATGATTGAACTGGTTGCGGTTTTGCTTGTCGTCAGAGGGGGCATAGTTCTGCAAAAACTCAGAGACGTGTGCAATGCACCTTTTAAAGAAATGAATACATTTATTTATTCAGTAGGGATACATTAAATTGTCAGTAAAGACGTTCAGAATCTCACAAAAGATTTCCATTTCTAATAAATGTTTTTTTTTTTTTTTTTTACTTTCTACTCCTCAAAGAATCTTGGAAAAAAAAGTAATTAAGTAATATATTAAGCCAAACGACAGTTTTTAACAGAAAAAACTAAGAAATGTAAGAAATGTTACATTGTAAAATAAATACAAATAGCAATTTTTATACTATTAATTACTATTTTAATTATTTTAAATTGTAATAATATTTCACAATATTGCTTTTTTCTGCGTTCTTTATCAAATAATGCCTCTCAGTGCCATATGCCATAAGAGACTTCTTTTGAAAACAAAAAACCTTACTGACCCTGAACTTTTAAATGGAAGTGTAATATAATGCAGTCCAAAACATAGTGAGCTGCCTACTTGAACCGCTGTCTTTTAAAGCAGTGTTCGATGGATCCTCATAAGTGGCTGATTTGTATGTTCTACACATGTAGCAGCATTTTGAAAGCATATATGTTCATAAATCCAGTCTTTAGAGAGCTTGTTTCTGACCCTCACCTACCCTCTGTCCACTCTCCACAGACCATCTGCTCCTACCCAACAACTAATGCCTCAAAGACCAGCGCCTGCACCCCCAGTATAACACACAACACACAGACTGACAGTTGTATTTCTGTCTGGGATGGACAGGCCAAGTGTAAAATGTGCAGTGGGAGGGGTCAAGTAGCAATCAGGTGGTTGCTCCCCCACTTATTAGGGCCCGAGCACTGATGGTGTGAGGACCCTATTTCTCCCCTGTCCTTCTGAAAACAGCTGTCAACTGTCAATCAAACTGAGAGACAGTCAATGTTGTGAAAGGAACCTCTACTTGCAATACATCACTGAGTACATGATGGGAGCGAGAGAAATAATTAGTCAATTAAAAGCTTCCCACCTGTCACTTGACAAAAGATGCCTATGGCAACAGACCCTTAAATGTTACGATTCTTATGTGCTATATAGGACCACTGCGACTTATTGCACTTCAGTAATATTCACTGTTTATAGGAATGTACAGAGACCCTTTTATTATAGGCTGGCTTTCCTCCCCCTCCACTTTTTGGTGCAACATGTGTACACCACAGTCAATCATTGCTCCAAATAAAAAAAAAAAATGTTTTATATTATGTTAAGGACAAGGACAAATGCAATAATTTAGTAAATAGGCATCGCTAACATTTTACAAGGTTGTCAAGTCATTAGTGTTATCTAAATGGCCCATGGTAACTGCAAATCATTCTCTTTGCACTGTGATGCATAATATTCATATTATAAATAATTTAGGTTTTGCAATACCGGAGTGCAAGACAAGAAACAAAATACATAAAGTAATTTTGTTCTTTTTATTTGAAATTGTTGATACCAACACAGTGATTTAAAACTACTATTTTACCATTTATATATAGTTTTATTTGCATAGTTTTATTTATATGTAACTTTTATAGAAAATCTATTTTTTACTTTATTTGCCAAGTGAAATTCTGTCCGCAATGAGGCAAAAAATCAGGTAAACATGAATTCTTGTTTTTGAAAATGGTTAATTCCTAAAACTTCATGATTGACTTTTTTTTTTTTTTATGTGGTGATTAACAATTTTTTGTTGTTGTTGCAAAATACAAACAACAGTAACCATGAAAAAGTCAGTGCTTTTCTCCTATCATTTTTAAGGGCTACATGACTTTATGCATGATAACACACTATGCGATAAATTACATATTTCTTCCTTTGTGAAATTGATCAAAAAGAACGAAAAGACCGTTTTGTCTGCATGTTTCATAGACTTCTTTGTGATGACCGTAATACCACATGGGGTACAGTATGTGTATAAAGTCATGTACCCGCAAACAAACACACAAACAACTGAAACGTTTTTGTTGTAGACCACATTTAGACAGTATCCTCACACTAGGATATTTCCATCATAGCAAAATCATTAAGTGCCATACATTTCATGTCTGATAAGTGTTATTTTACATGTGTATGATTAACTGAATGAATGATGAACACAACAACCCGGCCCTCACACACTGCATTTCCATTCGAAGCAGTTGTGGATTGTTGATGTTTTATGCATAAAAGATGGACTACACTTATTTTGGACTACCTACAGTGTAATGTGGATGATGGTTTTTGCATATGAAAATAAAAGGAAAAACACTGGTTTGTTTTTAATGATTGTGAGGTGCATTTTAAACATGAGTTTCAAAGCATTCTTTTTTTAGTGAATCAGTGTCATGAACAACTTGGCCCAGGTAATTGAAAATCTATAATGTAAATGTAAGCCAATTGCTATTAATCTTTAAAAAAAAATTGTAGTCGTGAATGCTGGTGTACCATTTAGCAGCAAATGCTACTTATTTTCCGTGTTAATGTAGCTAGTATTTTTATAAATGATTCTAGTATTTTATAATGTTTTGAATTAGCTTTTAATTTTTTCAAATCTTTTTTTCATTTTAGTTTGTTTTAGCTATTTTGTTGTGAATTTGTCTTTTTTATCATTTATATTTCTATTTTTCTTTAATTTATTTATAGTTTTAGTCCTTTTACTTTTAGTACTTTAACTTAACTTATTTCAGTTATGTGTAGGCAACATTTCAGATTTTTAAGTTTACATTTTTATATCTTTATTATGTCAGTTTTATTTCTATTAAATTATTTCATTTTGCTGATTTATGAAAATGCCAAGATGCTCTAAACGACAGAGAAGAAAGACGTGTGCAAGAAAACTATATTTCCCACAATTCTCACGCACAAGAATACTTTGCTCATTAATTATGTATTTAGGGCAAAATGTTTCCTGTGCAAATGAAATTTGAAATTGTCAATTTTAACTCTAACCAAAACCACGTGATCACATCACGTCGGAAGTAGGAACCTAACATAAGCGCTAGAAAACATTACAGACAGTTAAATGTTTTTTGTTTTTTAAGTGAGCTAATGCTTTTCCAGTCAAGAAATGTAAAATATTTTGAATATTGTTTAATAGAAAGTAAATTTTATTTAAGATTTGCGGATATCATGTGATGAAAAACGAATTGAAAGTTTCTATTCTCAGAAATTAGCGCTAAATCTAGAAGTGACGTAACGTACTAAAGCGGCTGACGTTCTTCATGACGGAGCTGCTGTTCTAGTAGTGTCGACTGTCACTCTGAGCAGCGCAGGGGTCAGTTGGAGCTTCTACCAACTCCGGTGCACGACCAGTTTACAATAGCTGTCGGATCAAGTAAGTTTTGTGTTAACACTTCCATCTGCCGTTAAAGGGAGATTTAATGACAGCGTCGGCAAATCCATACGAAGAGTCACGTTCCTCATTTCATTTCCTTTAGCATATTTCCTTTGGCTGCTTGCTCGTGTTTGGTGTAGCATAAAGTTAACTGATATTTGAGGACTTAAGTTGGTATTTATGCAGAAGGACACTTAACCATCCAGTTACAGAACCGCGTGCCTTAACCGACCTTAATTAGCTCATTATTGTTGCTAGGTCAAGGTTTTGTGTTCTACAAGGGAAATACATAGGGTTTGTGTCTTTATTCATTACACAAATACATTAAGCAATAGAAAAAATAGCAACCTAGTAATACGTTTAAATTGCATGATTGAACTCCAAGTATTAGCCTCCGATTTGATGGTTAGCATGAGCTGCTAATATTTTCATAAGAACCATGTTTAGTGAAAGGACATAATGATTGACACTCCGTGTCTCCAATAGCCTTCGACTAAGCATGACTGGTGGGTGGAGTTAGGAGTCTCCGGCCAATGGCGCTTTGAAACGCCTCAGTAGGCGGGCGTAGTTGAGTGACTCATCAGTGAATGGGAGTGGAATGTGGATGCAAGGTCAAAACATAGGCGTGTGGAGGGAGAGAAGGTTCCATGTTTATTTCAACCACATGGCCATATTAGTTTCATTTTAGCGGAAAAGGACACCGATATCCATTATTATTTTTTAAAAGTAGAGTGTAGTTCAGTTTATTACAGTAACTAACAACGGATTTGATTTATTTCTTATATAGGAAGTAAAGGCAATGCTTTGTCAAAATGTGAAGAAAAAAACTCTATGCAAAGTTGCATATGGCATATTGTGATGAAAAATATAAAGTTAGTGATGCCAGAAATACTTGTCTAGATATAAAGTAAGTAATTTGTGGTGGGGTTCAATGGTTGGCAGCGTAACATGAATTAATTGTTATGTAATGTTTTTTTTTACACATATGGTTTACTTTCTACACTCAAAGTGTGACCTATAAATAGCTTTTGCATATTAAATTGTCTCTTTTACCAGCATATAGTTTGTAGTATGTTATGTGGGTGATTAAAATAGACTCACCTTTGATCCCCATTTCTCTGTGTGCATTAGTAAAGAAAGATGTTAATTTCTATTTGCAACAAAAGAGGTTAAGTAAAAAGCATCTCAACTTTTTTTTTAACCTCATTACATCAGTGTTATGTGAGTAAGGCTCCTGTTGATAGGCAAAGCAGCAGTTGGGTGAAAAATAAATTCAAACTTTACTTAATTTTTTCATCATTCGATAAACACTATGTATAGCTATGATTGCTGTGTGCCTTAAAGGATTAGTTCACTTTCAAAAAAAATTCCTGATTATTTACTCACCCCCATGTCATTCTTAAGTCGAAAAAAATAAGGTTTTTTGAGCAGAACATTTCAGGGTTTTTCTCCATATAATGGACTTTAATGGCAACCGGTTTGAAGGTCCAAATGTCAGTCTCATTGCAGCTTCAAAGGCTTGACTCAATCCCAGTTGAGAAATCAGGGTCTTGTCTAGCGAAACGATCTGTAATTTTCTAAAAATTAAAATAAAGATGATACTTTTTAACCAAAAATGCCCGTCTTGTACTATTTCTGAGATGCGCCATGCATTACGTCATCACGTTAGAAAGGTCACGCGTGACATCATTAAACATCCAGGATATGCACACGTAAGGACCATTTTAAACAACAATCTGACGCATATAAATATGTGTCATTCAACATAGAATAACTTTGAACGGTCCTCCTACTCCAAACTTGTAAAAACTGGGTCGGTACTTCCAACTACTTCAAGCGTGACCTTTCCAACGTGATGACGTAATGCATGGTACCTCAGAGATGGTACAAGATGAGCATTTGTGGTTAAAAAGTATATAATTTTAATTTAATTTCTTTTTTTTTAGAAAATGACCGTTCGCTTAACTAGATAAGACCCTTATTTCTCGGCTGGGATCGTGTCGAGCCTTTGAACCATTGAGACATTTGAACCTTCAAATCGCATTAAATGGATAAAAATCCTGGAATGTTTTCCTCAAAAACCTTTATTTCTTTTCAAATGAAGAAAGAAAAAATGGCAAACTTGGATGACATGGGGGTGAGTAAATTATCAGGAAATTAATTAAAAGTGAACTACTCCTTTAACATAAGAAACTCCAGCCAAAACACTTGACACAATTTCATTACTCAAGAACTTAGTGTAAAAACATAAGTCTTTTATGGTTTACTAGGCCATGAAGGCATCATGTTCTCAAAAATAAGGTTCTTTTGGAGCTCTTGTTCTTTATCATGAGCTTGACTATCTCTTTGACCTTTGTCTGGGCTCTAGAGGTGACCGTTGTGCCATGGAAAGTACTAAACTCAACTGCATAAACCGATATGAAAGATTACAATCTTGGCTGTATGAAGATGTTTTGTCTTGATGATGATTGCAGCTACTGTTGTACTTGTTTATAAACCGTTTGTTTTGCTTTTGCACTAAAAATCTCATTAAAACCTCCATGTCATACACAGGGTAGAAACTTCCCAACAGCGAGCGTAGTAATATCAAATCTATTTGTCTTTAAATTGCTGAGATAAACTGCACATTTTAATGCTCCTCTGATTTACTTTTCTGTTTTCAGACTTTTCAGTGCAAAACGCAAATAGGAGTATAAAGGTCAAGGGCTTTTGGAACGTGTCCATTCTTCCCCTGGAAATTAAAACCACATTTTCCATTTTGGGCTAAAGAAGGTGGTGACACTTCTCTTTTCTATTGTGGCACTGGGGACATCCAGGAACTTGTGAGTGTGGGTGGTGTTCGTTCAATAGACTGCGATGCACCGCTTAAGGACTTGTGCGGCACGGCTTCGGCCAATCACTGCCTCTCAGACTGCTAAAAATCTATCACAACAGAGGCCAGCATCCACCCCAAGGACGTTTCAGCCATTCAGGTGCTACACTGCACCGGTGGCCGCAGAGCCGTTTCTGAATGGAACGAGCTCCAACTATGTCGAGGAGATGTACTATGCATGGTTGGAGAATCCGAAGAGTGTGCACAAGGTAAGAGGCAGAGGACATGCTGTTGGATGATTTGAGGAGACCTCTCTGTTGTCTTGTCCATTCTCAAACTAAAGTTTTGGGTCTTGGGTGTTATAAGATATAAGACTGAATTTCCATCTGTATTATCTGTCTGATTATCTCTCCATCTGTCTACAGGTAGCAACTTGTGTGTCATAGATCACATTACTGGGATCCCTGTTTGTATTTTTAGAGCAGTCATGGGAGTGTGCATTCTAGGACATACTGACACACAGCTGATTCATTATGGGCATTTAGTTGTTTTAAGCCTCCTCACTTCTAATGAGGTTTTATGTAATAAACCTCAATTATAATAACAACCTTAAGTTCAAAAGTGAGTTCAAGGTCCAGACTCAGATTATCTTGAGTTAATGTTTTGCTCACCGTCCTGTGGATGGATATTTCCACCCATCCCTCAGGGCCTCAGGCAATTATGTTTTGGCCATCTAGATCATGTATTCTCTTCATGTTTAGAAGGAAGGGTACAGCCCCACCAGTTGCTACATTCCTATGGTTTCTTTATCTGAATTACCCCACTTTACTTGATTCAATGTTTGATCAATTTAAACTGCCTTTTAAGCATTAATGCATAAATGTAAAATCCTACAATCCTGATTAGTCTTTGTTAAAAGAAGAAAGATGTACTAAAGACAATATGGATTATTGACTTTGTCATTTGTCCCCACATTCTTGAAAATAAAAATTTTTCATAGTGCTGGGTATTGAAGCTGATTTCACAAACTTATAGGATTACGATTTTGATTTGATATTTATTCATTTGGATATCAGGTATGGATATACAGTATATCAGTACATCATTTGACAGTTCGTCAAAGTGGTCTAAAAATTAAAATGTAGACAATAAAATCATCTTCTCTGGAGGTCTTAGGACCAAAAAATTTGCATTTAATCATTGCATTTGGTCTGATGTCCTTACCTGCCTTTCAACTTATAGGGCCCTATCATACACCCACCGCAATGTAGCTCCAGGCGTGATGCAAGTGTTTTTTGCTAGTTTAGCCCGACGCAGTTATCATTTTCAGGTCCTGACCTGCGCCACAGCAAATACTTTAGTGCCCATGGTCGTGCTGGTCTGAAAATGAGATGGGTTCAGGCGCGTTTTTTGCGTGTTGCTATTTTGAGACAACTGAAATTGTCTGCGCCATTGGTGCCAATCAGTGATGTATAAAGTACTAGAAACCCAGACTTGAGTAAAAGTATAAGTGCTCTATGCTTGTCCCGAGAAAAATGGCGTTCGTCAGGTCCAGTTTTGTGTCCAGCCTCTCACGGGGATTTCGGATGCCCCAACGCCTGTGATGAGACGACTCAACGCCTGTGAAGAGACGACTCAACGCCTGCGATATGTTATGGCGCCGTTTGATTCATAAACAATATTTATATTTAATATTTATATTTAAACAATATGAATGTAAGCCAGAGGAGAACTGGCCCCCGACTGAGCCTGGGTTCTCCCAAGGTTTTTTCTCCATCCAATCTGATGGAGTTTGGTTCCTTGCCACTGTCGCCTTGCTTTTGGCTTGCTTTGAGCTTGCTCAGTTGGGGTTATTTAGTGTTTAGCAATGTTGTTGATCTGTGTTGTGCTACTTTCATGTTATCACTGTGAAGCTGCTTTGATACAATCTGTATTGTGAAAAGCGCTATATAAATAAATGTGACTTGACTTGACTTGACTCTATCAAAAAAGTGACTCGAGTAGAAGTTGAAGTGCTCTTTAAGCACCACACTTAAGTAGAAGTACTCTACATTTTTTGTACTTAAAGGTATAGCAAAGGATCTTTCCGAATTTTAGAGAAGACCCGCCCTCTCCAATTTTTTAAAAAAAATGCACATGCAGAAACACAACACTCTTGCTCCCGAGAGGGAACGTCTATCACGCCTTACACAATTATGTTGCAAATTCTAAACTAACTCAAAAATATTCATAAAAAAGACAACATGTCAAATGCCCTTCCGTGTTTTATTTACTTATTATACTGATCGATTGAGTGACCGAGGACTAAAGACATGATATGTGCAACCCTGTATCACACGAAATACGTTCTGAGGAAACTATTTTGCAAATTGCAATTACGTTAAATGGCAACATATAAGCAGTGCTATTACGTTGGTCCTTAACCTATCTCTCATTGTTAATACGTTATTTTTATACATAGTTGCATATGGAGAAGTAGCTTGTTGCATTTGTGTAATAATAAAAACACAAGGTTTTAGAATATGAACACACAAGATTTTAGAATATTTCAGCGTGATACCATTTACCATTTTGGTCAAAAGGCTACTTTAGACAAATTGAGATGTTTACCGTGTCTATGCGGTGCATTGTGCCAGGGCTAGCATTGTAGCTTGCATTAACTTTTACTAGTGATTTAAAATGGATTTCTTCAAATAGCATGACAAACTTTACCTGTCTGGTAGAATCTTTGCGACTGCGGCATCAGTGAGAAGCCCAACCTGTGCTTTTAGCGCACGCCAGCGTGTGACATTCACCCAAAATCACTCTGGTCTTGTTTCCATATTCTGCGGCCTTTCTCTTCTTATCATACACTTCGTAAACATTTTTTCTCTTTCGACCCTCAGCCATTTTCAAAGGAATGGCTGAAACCGTAACTCCGACATAATACACCTGAAAGTGAAAACTACATAGGGATGAGCACGTAGCCTACGACGGCCTTACGTAAACATATCACCAGAATGATTGACACTTAGGTGGACCAATAGTATAGACTACCCACCCGGAAAAAGAAAATCCTCCGCTATACCTTTAAGTATTGCAAGTAGTTTATTTTAAAATTCACTACTTAAGTACTAAAAGTAAAAGTACAGTTGTGTCATGTAATTATTAAAGAAATTATCAAATAAGGCGCTTTGGTGGGATACAAATTTGCTTTGGCGGCCGCCAAAAAATGTCATTGCAGGACAACCCCTGCATGCATTAGTTGTCAATGTGTGTCAATCAATACCATTACCCTATAAAACTGGCTTGTGATTTAGGCAGCATGAAAGCCAACTTGCAACGAATGATTCGTAAAATTTTTATAATTGTAACGAGTAACTAGCAGAACATTCAAAAAATATCGAAGTAAAAGTAGTTTAGTATGAGCCTATAGGCGGGTACGTAACAAGCTTACATTCTGCTTATTACACACACAGGGATATGCAGCAGCACACAAACAAAAGGATTATTATTGTGTATATAAAGAAAGATATGGTGGAATTCGGTATGTCCCGCAGATTGTGTGCTTGTGCCTTAACCTTGCACACAAGCAGATCCGTTTCCTCTCTGGATAAGTTTTCAGTCTTTCCGCTTGCAAGCTCCACCATGTAAATAGCAAAGCCGTCATGGTTTGAGCACAACTGGCTTTTGAAGGGAATGGGAGATGAGACTCTGATTTATTGCACGTTATGCCCAAAATACACCCATTACTCATTAACCACATCAGTGGTTCACTCTAAGCCCCCCTGCAGACCCACCGGTGGGTCCAATATTGCATCATCATATAATTTTAAAAAATCTCTAAGTTGTGCGGCACAAAACTAGACGTGGTATTTTTTGAAAGCTTAGAACCTCAGCTTTCATGACAACCCCATCACTATTGTATTTATGTTACATAGAATAAGGTACAAGAGAATGGGTACAACCATTTTAGACCATGCAGACTATTTTTCTCATCATTAAACTAGCAAAAGTGGATTCGGACACGCCCTAAGTGCACTTGCGCTTTATGTGCTTAGGTCGTTAAAATAGGGCCCTTGTATTTCCATACCTCCGTGCACCCTACTCACACGGACATCACACATCATCAGCATGTTGTAGACAGTCACCGGACGGTGTAAACAAACAGCAGCCGCCTTTAACAGATCCTCCTGATCCAAAACAATGAGTTATGCTGCGTTCATGCCATGTTGTAACCGTATTTACGAGATGGCAACCCGTGACGTTCACATCTTTAGACTCATATTTATGGGAACTTTGTGCTTTGTTACTTTTGATATGAATGCTACAATGTTCAGTTCATTCATCAACAAATATAAAAACACGATAGACTAATCGATTCTTGGGATGTAGGAATCGATATCAGATCGTAATGAATCGTTTAAAATGGAGAAATCCATATTTATTTACCCAGCCCTACTTTTAAACTCATTCAGCAATCGCAAGCCATTGTGGTATGCATATTGCGATATGTACATTTGCGATATTTAGATATATCGTGCAGCCATATTGGAAGTGCACACACAAATATTTAATGTCACACAAACTTGTCAACACTGCCCCACGACTTTGAATCACTACTTTATATTACTCTGTAACAAGGTGGTAACGTCGCTATTACAACTCACAGTTTCATTGTTAGTAGAGAGACAAAGTACCAGCATTATCTGACATGTTTTGTTGGTCCAAAAACAAAATAAATCCCCTCATGTATTCCACAGATGTTTAATTTAGTAAAAAAAAATTTTTGTTTTTCTTCACACTGTTTTAAAACCTATTGGAAAAGGACAGTCACTGTGGATCAGTCTAGACTTCTGTACCATGTTAATGGTTCATTCTTGTTTGCTGCATTACTAGATCTTGAGTGATTCAGTAATGAAAATGATGCAGTAATATCATATCCAAAAATTCAGTATGTCTGTTTAGCCATTGATTGCAACTTAATTGTCTACATAAAGAGTCTAAATCATTATTCTTTTTCTGTTCTCTAGTCTTGGGACATTTTCTTCAGGAATGCTAATGCTGGTGCTCCTCCAGGTACAGCCTACCAGAGTCCTCCTCCACTAGGAGTGAGTCTGGCCGGGCTTACTCAAGCCCAGTCTCTGGTGGGGGCTCAACCGAATGTGGAGAAACTGGTGGAAGACCATTTGGCAGTCCAATCCCTCATCAGGGCTTATCAGGTACGGAGATTTTAAAAACGCTGTGCATTTTTTTTCTTTTCTTTAAAAATATTGGCTTGAAATTGATATCTCAGTGCTGCCTTTAATGAGTTTGCAGCTTGAACCTTTAATAAGGTAAGAGATCTATGCATTTAGTGTTCATTTTGAATAAAAAAATTGAAATCAAAATGGATGCTTTTGACGCTATTTGAGGTCACAGGAGAACATTCACTAAGCAGATAGCAGAGGTCGATCGGTAGTTTGCTAATTCACAATAACTGAAAAATCTGGCAAATAACTTATTACTGATTTCAGAAAACATCAAATGATAAGAATGCAAACTTTATTCCAAAATGATCGATGAAAAATGTTTTTTTTGTGTGTGTGTGTGCACACGTGCGTAGTGTACTGTACTCGCACACCATACATGCGGTAATTGCACTGACTGACACACCACGAAGCTTGCAAAGCACAGAATGCGAATCCCATGCAAATTTAGTTTTATTGAGCTTGAATGGTCAAATACACAGTGAATAATGTCAAAATGGCCATTGTTCCTTGTTGTCAATGAGAAATAAATAAAACTACTGTACCTGAAAGACTTAAGTTTATTTCATTTGTATCTTTGTTCTGTTGTATTTGTCCTATTGTTTGTAATTTAGCTCATTTTGTTTTTATTTTTAATAACCACGATCGGATTGGCAAGTATCAGCTAGGGATGCAGCGATTACCGGATTTCACAATTAACCGCGCTTTAAAACGTCGCAGTTAATTAATCGTAAAGATTATGCACTGTGCGGAAGAGTGTTCCGCACTGAACAGAAATTTTGCAACTAACACAACACGAACACAAAGTTGCACCAGCGGTACACCAGCTTAAAGGTGCAATACCTAAGATTTTTGCATTAAAATATCCCAAAATCACAAGGCCAGTGTTATATATTTAGTAAAGATGATAACTCACAATATTCCAAATGTTTCAAACAATGTTTAAATCGCGAGAAAATTGAGATTTTAACCAAGGAAACGGCACGTGTCAGCAGGGGTGAGCTGGGAGTCGCGAATCAATCGCGTCATATCCGCTTACCTCGGTTTCCGCTCTTACTACGTGTAGTCCTGGACAAATGCGGTAGTTGTAGTTGTGCGTTAGCGCCTATCAAACGGCAGCTTGTTTCGCGCATTTGTTATGGAATGGAGCACATATATTCTTTTCATTTATTCTCGGAATGTGAACTGTTGGCTGTAAAGGGGGTCGCACACCGGACGAGAAGCGCCGCGTCACGTTTTAGGACAACTCCAGTAACGTTATCGAACACCGGACGCGCACTTTCTCATCAGTGTATGGCCAGCAATATTGTTATGTTTAATGACAGAAAATGAAGATAATGTCTGTTCTATGTTATTGTACTGTACAATTAAATACAATCGTTGCTGAGTCTGCATTCTGAAAACTTTACCTCAGATCATCCGTTCACAGAATGAATTGAGAATCTCACGTGAAAAATCTAATAATAATCAGTAATTGTCATTCAAGCAGCTGATTTCTGTAAATGACTGCAAAACTAAATGCATAGATATTGCAGCATAGGGCAAAGTCAGGATCCATTAGCAACGGTTTGAGGCAAAAATAATTAAAATTTTATATAAAACTATGTAAATGGCGCTCTGTGGCGCAGCAGGGTTTTGAACACGGTCCTGAAACGTTGCTGGGCGCCGCGGACAGACGCCGAATGGCGCCGCCGGTATGTGTACACTTATAGATAATAATGTGTTCGAATAATTATGTGGTGCAACGCGGCGCTGCAGCTTCTCGTCCGGTGTGCGACCCCCTTAACGTTAATTTTGTGAAACTGTAGCTGTGGTTGAATACTTACACGACATGAAAAGATGTGTCAAATGTACATTGCAGACATCCCAAGTCTCCCGGATCTCCCGCATATTGATAGCGTTTCCCTGATGCCCGCAAATTAGTTCAAATCTCCCGGGATATAATGTTAGAGCGAGACATACTGCGCGCATAACATACAGCGCGCTGCGCGTGCACTGTACAGAGGGAGAGACTTTGCGTTTGTGCCTCACGAACGCGAAAGTTAGCCTTCCCTCCCACCCCCACAATCTTGTTATCGAAATATACCTCCCGGAAATGAATTCTTGCAGGTTGGGATAACTGACATTAAATTGATTTTTTTATTTTTATAAAGTTACCAAGGAGGGCCAACCACGTCAACTCCTTGCGAGAGACCTGCCCCTTCAAACCCTCTCCACCATAGCTTCGTCCAGTGACTCGTACAGTAACATCTGTGATAACTAATTTACTTTTAAACCTGACTTTTCTTGCACGGTTATTTCAGTTTAATGAAATACAAGCATGTCATTAAACGCAACGTTTATAGAAATCGAACTTTACCTCATCCATGACAACTAATTTTCGATTCCCGTCTGACTGATTTATCCACGGTGGAGTTGAAAACAACAGTTCCCATCATTCCGCGTTCCTCCACGGCGTCATCAAGCAAAGCCGTTGTTGTTGTTTTGAATGTAGCGCCCTCTAGCGGCATCTAGATCTTAGGTATTGCACCTTTAAAGTGCTGTGCTCATCAGTCACTATGGCAAAGGGACTAAGCAGCGATGCTCTATTTCCTCTTTTTGTATCTGAATACAATGCAAAAAAGAGCTCTATTCGGTATGGTTTTCTGTGCGCACACACCCGACCCGAAGCGTGCAGCCGTGCACAATAGACACATAACGCACACAAATACTGAACTGAGTTCTCTTTCGTGTCTGAAAAGACAAATACACACAACATTATCTCTAAATGTCCGTTTTGGACAGTATTCATGTAAACTATGTCGGTTTGTCTTAAACAGTTATAAGTGTATCGGATGTCCATCAGTGCTATTGGATCCACATGTCATTGGAAATGATCCGACGTCTTGAAGGGATAGTTCACTTTGAAATTAATTTTTGATATGTTTTAGCTTACCTCAAGTGCATCCAAGATGTAGGTGTCTTTGTTTTCACAGTATTTTCAATTTTGACATTTTTAGGTCAAACCGTACGTGTCTATGAGTCATTTAATGGAGGTCCACCTCAAAGAGCATGCACAGAGAAGTCCAAATTAAACAAAAATATGATATAATGACTTCTGGCCTAAGACACGAAACGAGCGGTTTGTGTGAGGAAACGAACAGTATTTATATTGTTTTTACCTCTTGTAACCACAGCCACAAAGTGCCCTCAGATCACTTGGACGTGGCTGTGGTTACAAGAGGTAAAATCTATATAAATACCGTTCGTTTTCTCACAAAAAGCGCTCGTTTCGTGTCTTAGGCCATCAATGTGTACTTACATTTACGAGTCATTAAATCATGTTTAATCTGGACTCCTCTGTGCATGCTCTCTGAGGTGGACCCCATAGACCTGCATTATATGACTGATAGACACAAACGGTTTGACCTAAAAATATCAAAATTTGAACTACTATGGAAACAAAGACACCAAAGACAAAGGGGATGCCCAAGATGAAAGGAAAAAGGAAAATACGGAATGTTTACAAAGCATTTCTCTTTAATTCCAAAGAAAGAGATTGATTATTGTTTGTCATTTTATAATTTTGTGCCATGTTGTGGCAGCAATAAATAACACATTAAAATCTGTTGTTGAGTGTTCGTGTGATATTATACATTAGTAGTGTTGTGAAATTAATTTTGATGCATAATAATCTTGATAATTGTTAAAGCGTGATTATTTCTCAGACTATAATCGTACTTGCGAAATCTGTAATCATTGCATCCCTAGTATCAGCATTTATTTACCTGATAACGATAGTTCCATAAAGCAGCTCTTGGTGCCAATTAATCTGTGAAATTGAGATATTGGTCGACCTCTTGCATATAGTCCCATTTGGTTTAAAATACCAAATTTTGCAATACCTCTTTTTGATTGCATTGTTTCGCATCGTATATTTGTGACACTGTGAAAGGATGGGCTCAATTTCACAGTCATGGGATCTGCTTGGTGAACTCCTAATGTCTTGTGACTGCTGTTGCCTTGTTTTCAGGTAATGGGGCATCACAATGCAAGCCTTGACCCACTTGGCATCAGTTGTGTAAATTTTGACGAGACCCCAGTAGCTACTGGGTTCCAGCATGTTGGTGAGAAATGTTTTCTGTCTTCCACAGCTCAACAGACCAATATTAATGAGCCTGTTTTGTGTGATTGTCGCTTTCTCCTTCCCTTTATCTGTCCCTCTTTCTCCCATTTCACACTTTCCCCTGTTTTTCAACTCTTATACCCCATCCCCCTTTGCACTCGACACTTAATTTCATCTTTGATGCATTCTACATCCATCTTGTGCTCTTGCTGCACATTCTCTTCTGTACCTTCTGTCTCCCCCCTCTGTATCTTTTCCTTGTGGGTGGTTCTGCGTTCGGCTCCCATGTTTGTGGGGCGACCCCTTGTCTCCTGTAGATACGTGGTCACCACGTGGCTCAGCTGGATCCTCTTGGGATAATGGATGCTGATCTGGATTCATGCGTTCCCACTGACATTATTACGTCATCGGATAAACTCGGTGAGGAATTATGAATGTCCGCCAAACTATACACGGTTAGGACTCAGATGTTTTGTCAACTGCTTTCTATGACAGTTGGTGATTGAATTTCAACTTCATCTTCATCATTTACTCAAAACGATAGGTATTGTTAAACTTTTCTGGAAAGCAGTTTTAGACTTCTTTTTTTTACTGATTGTTTTGATTCTGGATTTGCAGTGATGAAGGGCAGCAGCACTGTATTTGGCTTCACATATTTGGCATCAATCTAAAATTGACTTGCTGTACAGTATCACACTTGAGGTGGCTGCAAGTCTTGAAAGACGCGCTTTGCTCCATTCAAATTACTTGACAGGAATTTGTAGTGACTTGGCCTGATCACATGCTTTGAACTTGCAGTTACATGCACACTACTTTCTATTTTCTGAACACTGTTTGGTAAACATGGCAACATTATCAAATATGACAATGTCCGACCATTACACTAAAAAAAACGTATTCAATAATTGCCCAATAGAGGTGGGAGTACATCCATCAAATATTTTAAATAAATGCATTTGAATAGGAAAATAGTTCTAAACAAGGCAGAGAGGGTCTCCTAGCAACACACAGCTGTGTTTTTCATTTTTGACAGTTTTTGAACGTTTTGTGTGAGTCAATGACCCATAAATTCACTGGACACTTGCTCTGGCTTCCAGCAAACACTTTTGACTATGGTGGCTGGTTTCCCTATTTTCACGTTCAATTGCCCATAACTAGGGCACTTTTTCAACAGGTTCCTCAGTGGGTTTCTGAGTGCGGAATGGAAAAGTTTTGTCTCGTGACTATCATGTCTCACATTCACCCAATTGCCCTGTACGGCTCTAGAATTGAACAATGTACGGGGCTCGCTAAGCTGGTCGCATCCATCTTGCTGCACTTACAGAAGAGGAAAGCTCACAGAATCTTTTGCAATCTGTACATTGTTCCCACATGTAGAGGAACATGCAGTACATAAAGAATGTCATATTTAAAGGGTGCATATCTCCAAAAATTTAATTTTCTTTGCTCTTTTGAGGAGCAACATTTTATTAATATAATATACTTAGTACACACCTCTCAGGGCCCTTCCCATTCCCGCACCATTTAAGCAAATTACACTTTTAAATGCAATACATTAAAAAATAATAATTCAACTAAAAAAGGTCAGAGAGAAGGCTGAAAGCTAAATCAGGACTGTAATGTGGAAAAAAAATATTTACCATAAAGTTTTGCAAGTAATGTGTTTAGCCTCTCAGGAGCTAGTCTTTGCTTTGCTTGGCAGTGTGTGGGACAGTTGTGTAGGCTAGAGCTGCATGATTCTGGATAAATTGAGAATCACATTTTTTTCACAACTTTCCCCATGGTTCTGAACGGACATCTAAACAAAATAACAAGAAATTGACTAGAGGTTCTGACAATGTTAATTGCTGTAGTCTATTAAGTCTCTTTTTTTTTTAATCGGTTTGAATATGATTCAATGACTCCCTCATAAATACCTATACATGACAACCCCTGCGTCCCAATTCGCTTACTTATTACTTCTTACTTCTTTTTGTTGAAAAAATGTACATATTTTTGAGTGTGTAGCGAAAGAGTAGGCAAGCTTTGGGACATACTACCTCGTCATCTTTAACGGCAGCTCTGTCGCATGCATCCTATCACGTAAACTGACCTGTCAATCATCTCGTCACAGTTAAATCCTCCATTCAATTTAATTTAATTTCTTACTGTTTCGGAGAGAAATTTTGTTGCACGTTCATCTGCCAGTCGTGGGTCTTTCATGCAGAGACTCTCCGAATGTGTTTGCAGTTTGAATGTAATGATGCATTTTAAAGTTAGTGGCTAAACTTATCTTTACAAAAGTTCACAATGCTTATTCATATGCAGTATAATAATGTAGCCAACATTGAATAAATACATTTTTGTCGAGATCACAATATTTGAATGATTAATCGTGCAGCTCTAGTGTAAGCTGTGATGTAGATTGAGCCTTGAAGCCGTGATTGTATTGCTGCAGCATTAAGGAACTGCTTGGTTTGGTGCCTGTTGTGATTTAAAGGAAAGTTGTTTTATCTGGAATACAAAGTTGTGTGGTTTACCTAAGCGACCAACTCTTTTTACATTTCATTAGTGAACTATTCAGTGCTGTAATTAATGTTTGTTAGTCTCTCTCAATGGAATTGACTATGTGAGGTTTTGGGAATCACTAACTCCAGTGGATTTTTTTCCCCCTACTACTGCCTCTCCAGACCTTACATATGTCAAGAAGCGTCTAAGTGCTCTAACGATTGGAGGTAGGCTTTAATGACAAGCAGTTCTGTGCCTCTTGGTTTATAGCTTTGTTTTAGTAGTTGCAAGTAGTTTTAGCTGCTTTTTTTTTGTGTATTTGTGGCAGTGCTGTTAGCTTTGTGGCCAAATTTGTAGAATTTGAAAAAATCTGAATGTTCCTTGTTATCTAAGAATGGCAGCTATAACTACTGTTTAGATAAAAAAAAATTAAAAACATCTTTCTGAAAATGAATATATAATATATTATAAAACATTATAGTAGTTAATTTAAATAGAGAGACTGTGAATCTAAAGGAATTCTAATGGAGCTTTACTATTCTTGGTGTGTCTTCATTTAACAGCACAATATACTGTATATGTTTGTTTAAATGTGTGTGTATATATATAAAGTTTAGAGTTGGTAAGATTTTAATTATTTAATGTAGAATATTTTTTTAAGGTTTTCAAATGAAGTCTCTTATACTCACAAAGGCTGCAAATTATTTGAGCAAAACAGTTAAAAAGTATTACATTTCAAAATGTATTACATTAGAAAACAACTATTTAAATTTATTCCCTTTTGTCAAAGAAGAATTTTCAGCAGCCGTTATAGTTTTCAGTTGTCACGTGGTCCTTCAGAAATCATTCTCATATGCTAATTTTGTGTTCAAGAAACATTTCTAATCAATATTGAAAATTGTCATTTTGTACAGCTTAATATTTTTGTGGAAACGGCAATACATTTTGTTCAGTATTATTTAAAGAAAAGAAGAAAAAAAACAGCATTTGTAATGAAATTATTTTTTTAAACTATATAATAGTCTTTACTATCACTTAAATTTAAAATAAATTTAATGCATCCTTGCTGAATAGAAGTATTACTTTGTATACTGAGAAGAACTAGTGTAGTTTAAATGGATAGATGCTTGAGCCACACTTTGTTTTAAACTTAATATTTAACATGTATGTATGCTTTGCTTATTGTTTTGTTTATAGTTAAATAACGTTAAGCTTTTGGGTGATAGTAATGTGATGATGATACTTATGTTGTAAGATGGTGACAAAATAATGTAAATTTCTGTTTTTGCTGTTGTGTTGTGGCTTTGGAGAACTTAACTGTTATATGTACATAAATGCAAATTTTTATTTATTTATTTATTTTTACCTTGCATTACAGAGTCTGAATTTCACTTTGCTGAAGTTTCTCAAACCTGTAATTGGGACAAGGGTAATTGATATGCTCTAAACAGCTGTCCGAATACCAAATAGTAAGAGTGGAGTATTAATGCCTGTTTTGCATAGCATTCTGTTAGCAGCATTTAAATTAGCCAGAAAGACAAAGAGATGTGACATGAGTGTGTGCCAGCACATGAGTCTGTGTTTGGTGCTATGGTGAATGGCTCAGCAGTCTACATGAATACTGTCATACTTCTGTAATGTCCAGAATCCCATCCAGCGTTTAAAAAAAATTGATTTTCCATATTTAAAAAGGACAGAGAAATTAAGAATTAAGAAATTAAGGACTCTTAATTTCTGAGTCCTATGTTTTCCCTTTTTACATTTTTAAAAGATTACTTTCGCCTTAGTTTTATTTTTTAGCTTCATTGCTTTTAATAGAAATTTGGACTTTGCCAAATTATACACCAAAATGTTTGGATAATGATTGTAGCACAATATGCTATTGATGTTAAAGGAATATTTTATTTATTATTTAAAGCCTATTGTAATTTGTGCCATGTTGAATACCACAAACTAATTTCAACTCATCCCTAAGTTTGTAAAATAAAGAAATGTCTTTATAGTAGTATGTAATACTACTGTAAACACATTTCAGTTTTTATTTGGGTTGTTAAGATAATACATTTTATTTGTTATTTTAATTAGGTTTTTTTAAAGCTCCATTTTCTGTTTTAGTAATTTTGTTGTGCTTTTTTAAATTACTTTTTTTGTAATTTAACTTTTTGTTACTTTTTGTACTTTTGTTTTTTTATATTTCTATTTCTTTTATTTCAGTTTTAGTGATTTTAGTTCAACTTAGACGAAAAACTAAACTTTTTAGTAAGTTGTCAAGGCAACATTTTTCATTTAATTAATTTTTTTTAATTTCAGTTATCTAAAATTATTTGAATAGTTTTAGTTTGTTTACAACAATGGCCTTCTAGTCACAATGACCCATTCATAAGTGTATTATTTGGAAACCTGTTTCTTATTTGTTTTTATAAACATAAGTCATAAACCAAGTGGTAATCGGCAGCCTGACATGTGAACCATACATTTTAAATATCCCGGAATATTCCTTTAATATTTTGAGATTATAGTCATAGTCATAATATATGTTATTTAAAGATATTAGAATACACGCACATTTATGAAATCTTTAATTTCTTGAAGGGATGTGTATGTGGACATTGTGTTTGGTGTTAAGAGTGCTTCTGCTCAAGGTCTGGCTTTTTTGGAGAGTTTATTTTTGTGCCGAGTGCCTTTTTGGTGGCTTTACTGTACTGTACGCTATCATCAGATGTGGTGAAGGGAAGCTTTATGTGATGGTTAATGAAGTCTACATGTTTACTTTCTCTTGTAAAATCCAACAACAGACACACACCTACACTTTTCTATTCACCCAAACACACACACACCCCTGGAAACTAGTGATACACAAATGAAAATTCTGGGCTGAAACCAAATTTTTTTACTTCTTTAAAATATTTTTTTGTGTAATTGTTAATTATTACACTTTTTAATTAATTTCATGAATTGTACCTAAACATCTGAAATAATAATCATTTATTTAAAAGTGAGGTAGGCAATATTCTGAGAAATTAGCAATAGCAAGTTAGCTTTAAAGCATAAGATGCCTCCTTCAAAACACGTTAATGCATACAACACGGAGCAAACAAAAGCATCGCAAGATACGGTGTTAAAATACCTCTTGTCTCAAAGCGCATACCATTGCAATAATAATGAATAAAAAACAGCTTAAAGAGCACTGACCTGTACCACCTGACTGCTGCAGAGTCATTTCAACGTTGATAGTTTTGCCATTAAAACGCATAAATTCGAGTCGCAAACCGGTCCAAGTATAACGTCATGGGTTTCTATGCCTTTAAAATTATAGTTATAGCGTGAACGCAACATAAGCTCTTGTGACTGAGGTCTTTCTAACTATGTATAGCATGTAGCAGAATGAAAACGTGTGATGTATGCGCGAGCAGGGTGCGTGGTTGTATGGAAATACATACATTGATAGGCAGGTAGGACATTGCTGCATTCGGACCGAATTCAATGATTAGGCATACATTTCATGGCCCTACGCCTTTCACAGATGAGATACAGTAAATACAAATACATTTTAGAGCCAGACCGATATATCGGCAGGCCGATATTATCGGTCGATAATAGGCATTTTCCAAACTATCGGTATCGGCAGTTAAAATGGGCGATAAATGAATATTTAAAAAATAAAATAAAAACGGACAAAACACGCTTGAACCATGTCATGAGTGTTGGAGTTGTATGGTTTGTCCACCAGAGGGCACTACACCGTTCCTGTTGGCAACACTCGTTGAGTTGGTCACGATACATACATTGTTTGAATAACAATTAAAAGAACATCCCCATCAGTTCTCTTAACTCAAATAAGCATGACAAAATTTGTGACTATCATGTCCAGTTTTGGTGCTGTTAAATACGCCGAGAGTGAAGCGGAATTAGCTAGTAATAGTTGCGTTACGTTGTACAGTGTAGTTGACTTGACTGTCCTTTTAACTTTTGACAATGTGACTGAAGTATTTCTTTAATAGTGCATGACAGTTATTGCAATGAGACGTATCATCTCTTCTCGGCCTGTTATATTGAAAATTTATGTTTTACAATTTGCAGTATGACGTTATCCATTGCTAAATTATGGCTCATCATAGACTAGCTAACCACAAAGCTAGCTAATGCCACTATCATCCGTCTGTTTTGTTTTTTTTAAATGCATTATCATATTGTTTTAGTTAAAACTCAAAAATAACCACAAATAACTAATGTTATGGAAATCTGTTAATATTTTGTTGCACGTTTCTGAAATAATAAAAAAAATATCGGCCGATATATTGGAATATCGGATTTTAAAACCAACAAATATTTGTATCGGTATCGGCTTTCAAAATCCTTCATCGGTCGGGCTCTAATACATTTAGACCACTTAACTTAGTGATTGCTATCAGGATGTGACGAGAATTTCAACTAGTATAACAAAAAAATTATTTAAAAAAATCACCTACCCTGCGTTAAATAATCAACACTTAAATAAAGTTTACTGAAAATTCTAATTGCACACAAGGCAATTTTATGTCAACCTTTTAATATTAGAATCGTTTCTACTCCTATTTGTTGGTGGAATATAAGATTTAAATGAAGGCTGTCAAGACAAATTTATAATTTATCTTCAAGACAAATTTATTCATACATTAAATGAAGACCTCATTAACAGCTTAAGTAAAAATATAATGAATATATAATGTGCATATATTTTGCAAAATGCTCTTCTCTAGAATTATGTTTTCTAGCTAACTAATGAGATCTAGACTTTTCTGAATAGTTGAATGACTTTCCTGAATAAATGTAATGTTTCAAAACTTATTGTTTACAAGCTGTTTTATTGACGTCTTTTCGTGGTTGATTCACTGACCGATTACATGAGACATTATATATTTCAGTAATTTTTTTTATATCTTTCAACATACCTTCTGATGTGAATCATGTTTTTGCTGCTTAAACTAAATCAGCAAAGTTAGAAAGTCGAGACTGTTCATTATTAAAAGTAACAGTTTTTTGCGACTGCACGGAATAGATGCTGAACAGTCAAATTGTGCCATCGGAGGAGCGCTAACTAAGTCAAATTGTTGTTTCAGCCGAAAAATGTTTGGTAGGGAAATGTTGGTGCATCCCTACTAGAAATAAGTTCATACTCCCTCTCTTCTTTCCTCTCTCTGTCTTACTGTCTTTAGTGCTCTTATTAACACCATTATATAGGTTAATCTCTCTCTTTAGCACACCTGCTCAAATGCCTTGAGGTGCATGTCTGTCTTTTTTTACACATCCAAAATGGTCGATACAGACAGGTCAGTTTCCATTTGTGCTGCCCTATCAGTATCTCTGAACTGCTTAATGCATGTCATGTTTGACTCTTTGTATGAGCCTCAGTAATTTGTTAATTTATTAAATTAATTGCTCTGCCGAAATATACTAGTATTCAGAGAAACAATAGGTGTTTTAATATTCAAAGACTAAAATGTTCTGCCAGGCTGTTAACTCGCATGTTGTGGTTTTTGAATTAGTAGTGCTGCTGTGGGTTATGTAGAATCTGTGACCAGGGCTTTCTTGTAGGTTTTGTGTGATCCACCCTCAAAGGTTTATTAAAACTTGAGCTGTCAATAATATAAGCTCATTGTTAAAAGGTCATCCCCATGTAAGGTTTTTTAATTCTAGATATATCAGAACTGCACATTTTGCTATAAGTATATACTTAAGTGTAATGTATACAATAAAACTGTAGGCTATATGAAATGGTAGTTTTTGACTTGAGCTGAATAAATATAATATAATACTATATCATTTAACTACTAAATGAGATCTTTACTGTTTAATTCATTGTAGTTCACAATCCAAAGATGTACGGTTGCTTGTTTACATATTTAATTCTGGATGCATTTAATGCAATGATAAAATTAACACCAATAATATATTGACAGTGATAATGATGTTAATTAACCAATTTTTTTCCTTCTTTTTTTTTAACCCCCAAATTCTCCATCTCTCTACTTATCAATTTTTCAACCACCTTTCTTTTCTCTCTAAATCTTAATGTTCTTTTTTATGTTGTCCGCTTTGCTGTTGTTTATAACTATTATTAATAATAATAACATTCGTCATGCTAATGGCTGGAGCATTTTGTTGTGTTTTCTTATCATTCAATCCACCATGTTTCTGATTATGCACGGAATCACTGACATCCTCATGTTTACTCAATCCCGCACTAACCTAATGTTTTTTTTTCTCTCCCTGTCTGTCTTTTTTTTTTCTTGTTTCACTGTTCCATTTATCTCCTCATTCCCTCTCTCTACATATGGACTTCTCTTCCTTTCGCTTTACTTTATTTCCCTCCATCCCTTATTCACATGCATTGGCATCCATGATGGCTCTTCTCTTTTCTGTTGACCCTGTCCCTCTCCCTTTCCACCGTTCCCTTCTCTCTGGTTTGGGTTGGACGTGTTGTGTGTTTGGCTGACAGGTTTCTATGGGCTGGAAGAGTCTGATCTAGATAAAGTATTCCGCTTGCCCACCACCACCTTTATTGGGGGCAATGAGAGCGCTCTGCCCCTCAGGGAGATCATCCGCCGCTTGGAGGTGAGTGAGGAACAAGGAAGTTAAACAGCTAAAAAGATCATTTCTTATTTTAATTCACTCCCTCAGAAACTGATTTTTTTTATCTTTGAAGAGCCACACTCTCTTGAAAAAACAACAACATTTTTTTCATTCATGTATTTGTTTATTTTAAATTATATTACAGTAAATCACAAAAAAAGTCATGGGTCCTTTGAATGTTGTTTTTATTTTTTATTTTATGTGATGTGCATCTTTAAATTAAATATTAAATAGTTTTGCTTTACAAAAACGACACTCTTGTACATGTTATGCTTAAAAATAACTGACTGATTGTTAAAATGTCAATATATATATATATATATATATATATATATGTGTGTGTAAAATATCAAACCATGTGTTCTCAGATTCTACTTTTTAGTCCGTTTTAGTCAGTTCTCAAGTTCACACAGGAGTCCTACATAGGAAACCACAGGTGTAGTTCATCACATTAGTTATGCACATGATCCACTAACATTTGACAACCAGAAAGCGCCACTGGGCATTATTATTTGAAAAGTTGGATAATTTGAAACATGACAAACTTCTTTTTGTGAAATGGCTGGGTTCTGTAGTGAGGTGTAGAATTTTCTTTCAGTTTGGAATAAAACAATTACGTGTTGCTGAAATGTTGTGTTTTTCAGATGGCATATTGCCAACACATAGGGGTTGAGTTCATGTTCATCAATGACCTGGACCAGTGTCAGTGGATCAGACAGAAGTTTGAGAGGCCTGGGGTCATGCAGTTCAGCCTTGAGGAGAAGCGGACACTGTTGGCTCGCATGGTTCGCTCCACCAGGTACACACATACACTCATAAAGGCCAAACATTGGGAATACATGCATTATACCTCTCAGAATGTTTGCATTGGTCTGAACAGACAGTTGTCATTATTAAATAAAATGGTTGATTGCACCGAATCTTCGCACCAAACATTTGTCTTGGTGTGACTATTCTTTTCTTCCCTACTATGATGCATACTTGAGTGAAGCAGCTTCTTGAACAAAAAAATTAAGGAACTTGATTTTGTTCATCAGGAATTGATTGGATCGGTGTCGTTAGAGATGTCATTTTACATAAATTCCCATGATGCATTCCAAAGTCTGTTTTGGCTGTTCATTTACACCTCAACAGTGTTTTGAGGGCCTGAAACGCAAACTTTTGAAAACAGGTTTCAAAGTGCACGTTTTTGAAAACTATACGGTTATAGACCTTATTCAGAGCAGCGCCATGACAGGTATGAAAGTGAGGCTGTGAGGGATAGACTTACCGTGTTTCCAATGGCATCCGCTGTAAAAAGCTGAATAAAGCTCCTAGATTACTTACAATTTTCCACAACTAACATTGTCGGGAGTTTTTTGTCAACTGAAATTTCTTGGAAAGATGTTTTTCCAGTGTTTCATGAGCAGAACAGTCCGAAAACACATTAAATAACAGTACAGCCCATTGAAGAGATGCATGTCTATCCCTCACAGCCTCGCTTTCATTCTCATTAAAAAACAAAGATGGCGCTGCCGTGAATAAGGCGTATTGTCTCAGTGTAAACTTTCAAATTTGTGAAAACTGTGATGTCATGCACATGTTCAGTCACATAGTTTTTCTATACAGAGTGACCTCGCAAGCTACTGACCTGGTATGCGTAATACATGTTTTTTAATCCTTTTCGTGGATCCGTGTGAATGGGGCTCGTTTTGATAAATCGATACGACAGATTAACATTAATTGCAGTGGGTCTATGACCGATTCCTGTCTGTCCTTAAAGGGTTAGTTTATTTTACGCTTAAAGCCCTGTTTTAAGATAGTTTTTGATGAAATAGAACGGTTAAGTTTGAAATTTGGACAAATGCTGCTGTCCCGATAATTTTAGGTCTCTGTGTTAGCACCCCCCCACCTACACAATGGTTGTATATGTGCACTGGAACAATCATTCGTAAAACGCATTAAACTTTAGTCTACAAAGACAGGAAAATCACTGAGTGGTCTGGGGTGTTCACTGATATGCAGAAACAAAAATCGCTGCAAAAGATGCTTTCCAACAGGTTTTATCATAGTTTTTGTCCGACTCCATTGACTTGATTTGATACAAAAATGACGATAAAACCTATTGTAAAGCATCTTTTGCAGCAATTTTTGCAGCCGTTGGATCTGAACGGAAGGGATTAACTCTGGGTTTTGGAAGGGGTGTGTCTTGTTTCTGCCCTCTCACACCGAGACACAGGTTTGTGTATCTGAGTATGGCGACTTCGGTTTTATATTGCGTATCATTACAGGCCCATTCAAATAGCTTTTAAAATTGGCTATCTTAAAGTGGTTTAAAACATCTCCACTTAAAACGCTATTGGTCTCAACTATTTAAATAAAGTTAAAGAAATGTGACTTGGCCTGAAAAAAAAAATTTCAATTTAATCCCTGTATAAGCATTCAAAACTTATGGATGAATATGGATGAATTATTTTGAAGACATCACTCTGCACTTCAGCTTCTCATCGGATTTCCTGTTCAATCAAATGCTCTCTAGAATCTAAAGCACCTACACTACAAATTGACGCTGAAGCTGCGGCTGAAATTGGTCACTTGTTCACACATTTACTATTTTCTACAAGGTGAATGGAACTATAACAAGGATAGGGAATGATTCAGACAGAGTAAATATGCTTAACACGGGGGCAAATAAAGTCTGGTTTTACTTAGTGCCACGTGAGCCACCGCAGCGTGCACACAGTCTGCTCTGTTCCAGAGACACAATAGCACAGAGAATATCATATTTGCGAGTCAGCACATACCAGAAAACATATCGGACAGCTCTGACCTAGCTGTGAGATAAACTATTGGCTATTGGCTATTTTTAAAAAGGGGAGGAGCTGTTTGATATGTCCTGCCCTGTCTTCCTGTTTCAGTGCAAATTGTCAACACATTGAATAATGCTGCATGTTTCAAGGCACTTCAGTGGGCATAAATGAAGAGTTCAGATGCAAAAGCCTCTAAATGCCATTTGAAATTTTCTTCTTGAATGATGATTTTTATCAAACTTGTGTATTTAAGTTCAGTAATTTCACTTAAATAACAATTAACAGGTAATTATCATTGCCATTTAAGTGAAATCACTGAGCTTAAATATACAAGCTTGATAAAAATGATCATTCTAGAAGAAAATTTCAAATGGCACTTAGAGGCTTTTGCATCTGAACTCTTCAAATATTCAATGACAAAATATGACTGGAAAAATAGTCTTTTTTTAGACAGAACAACGCAGATGCATTTTACTCATCATTTATCTAATCTAGGGCTGTCACTATCAATTATTTTGGTAGAGAAATTTGTCAATTCTTTTGACAATTGACTGTAATCTGATCATATTTTTGGTGGTAATACAAATAGAATACCTTTAAAATTACTTTATACATATATAATAACAATGAGGCAATAAGTTTACACAAAGTAATCAAAGAAAGTAATTTTATGGTTTTATTGAACAACACTGTTTGTAATATTATGTATTTTAACAATCAACTTATGTACAATTATTTATTATAACAAATGCCTTCGGAGGGCACCAATCAGGGTGATTGTTGTTGTTGCACTTTACAGCATGATCAAATCCTTGTTTAATATTGGCCAAACATCATTTAATTCAAATGTCCATTTTGGCCACTTATTTTCAAACAAAATGCCACAGTTGCTGTAATTTCTGGAACAAGAACGTGTGAACATCAAATCATGCAAACCTAGAGCGAGGGTTTAAACTTTAATTTGAAGTCTGATGTATTCACCTGTGTTAGTGTAGGTTTATAAATGCTATATTATGATTTTTGAGATGAGCAAAATCTGCACAGAACCGATTAATAGTTATCACCGTGAAATGTATGCGTCAATTGTATCATCCTAACCTATGAAAATGCACTCAAACACATTCAAATAAAGTCATTTGTGATCATAACTTCAGTTAAATAATCATCATTGTCATTATTTTGGAAGAGTTTCTTACATTAAGTTATGCAACTAATGCACCCAATATAAAGTGAATATAATGATCCAGCTCATAAAAACTTTAAATAGAACTTGCATACACAAAAGTCAATAGTAAAATTCATTTGCATGTTTTGACTGAGCAGTTATTGCATGTTTTAATAAAAATGTTGTTTAATATAACTAGTTACTATGCATATTCCAGTACGTTTTAATTGTTATTCTTAAATAAACTTACATTTCGCCAAATTCATTCAAGTCCTTGGTTCACCCGTCCTTATACTATCTGCACAGCATCAGTTCAGAGTCAGACAGTGCTGTTACAGTCATAGTATGTATACTGTTCGCATGCTCAGTATCACCAGCTCATTGGTTCTCAGTATGTTGGACATGTCCGAAAGAAACAGTTTACGGTTAAACGGATAGTTCACCCAAATATGAAAATTGGCCCATGATTTACTTACCCTGAAGCCATCCTAGGTGTGTAGGACATTCTTCTTTCAGATGAATACAATCCATCTGAACCACTTCCCTTGAACTTTGAGCACAAAGTAATGATGAACGTGGTTGCCCAGCCCTGTTTGTTTGAACCTTGAGAGGTGTTGCTGTCATTACGTTGTGCGTCAAGTTCAGGGTTACTCTTTTGGCGTAAATTGATGTGTACGGCCATCTGCCGGAAGCTAGTTATTTTAGTCAATAAAGTTTTAAATATGGATGTTTTTCTTACACGAATGCATCGCTTCACTTCAGACTTGTTTTATTAACCCCCGGAGACGAATGGAGCACTTTAATCGTAAAAAGATGCGCTTTGATGGCCTTCCAAAAACTCAAGCATGTTTCCTTGATGTGTGAGAACCAATGAGGTTCATTCTTGTGTGTTAAGCATGTTTGAACTTCCGCAAGAACCAATAATGTTTCTTCTCACGTGTTACGCAGCACGTTTGAGCAGGAGGTTTGTTCTCGCGCATCAAGCAGGTTCGGTTGAGCTTCTGTTAATGTTCACTGATCAATGTTTATATCTTAAAAATGGTGATCAAATATTATTTCAGACATGTCCAGCACAACTATTAAGTGGCTTCAACCGCAATTATGATGTTGCCGCAAGAGGGAGGGGAAATTATATTGATTAAAGAATACAAGGGCACAATTTTGATTTCATGGTACCTTTAAAAAGATGTTGTTGAAACCCATATTTTATGTTTATTGCAGGTTTGAGGAGTTCCTGCAAAGGAAATGGTCATCTGAGAAGCGCTTTGGGCTGGAGGGCTGTGAGAGTCTGATCCCTGCACTAAAAACCATCATTGATAAATCCAGCAAGAATGGAGTAGATGCTGTCATCATGGGAATGCCTCACAGGTAGAGGAAGAGATGCTAATTTATAGAGGGGGAAATGGAAAATATCTGACTTTACAGTGGCTATATGCTTTTCTGGTGATTTATGGAATCAATTATAAACTCTCTTTCTGTCTGTCACTGTAGAGGACGTCTGAATGTGCTTGCCAATGTAATCCGTAAGGAACTGGAGCAGATTTTCTGTCAGTTTGACTCTAAATTGGAAGCTGCTGATGAGGTCAGTGACGTTTTTGTCTATATACACTTTGTTGGAATCTCATGAACTTATAGTATGTTTGTTCTGATAATCGTGTTGGTACCTGTAACAGGGTTCAGGAGATGTCAAGTACCACTTGGGCATGTACCACAGGAGGATAAATCGTGTGACTGACAGGAATATTACCTTGTCATTGGTGGCCAACCCTTCCCATCTAGAAGCGGTGAACCCGGTGGTGCAGGGCAAGACTAAGGCAGATCAGTTCTACTGTGGAGACACAGATGGCAATCGGGTGAGATGTAAACTGCATCAAACTAGTGCGACTTGTGTGATAAATTAATTTAAAAAAAAACACCGTAAAACAGTAATATTGTAAAATATTATTACAAATTTGAAAAACTTTTAAAAACATTGTTTTTGAATTTTCAACATCCATTACTGGCTAATATGACAATGTGTTCAAAGTGGTTATAAATCGTTTGAAAGTTGGAAAATTCCTGTTTATTTTTTATTTTATCTCCCGTCAGACAGCCATAACACGTTTACTGACGGATAGGGATGCATCGATACCATTTTTTAAGAAACGACCCAATTACCAAAAAATATTATTATCCGATTACAGTGCAGAATTTCTCTACCTTTTGTATGTAGAAGTGATCATTACTCTTTAATGTGTTAAACACAATCTACTAAATACAGACAACTTTATTATAAAGTAAACAATTTTTTGAATATTCCATTAACAGGTCCTTTTGTAGAAATTTGTGTTCATACATATAATTTTTTACAGTTCAATTAATAAAGCAGGTTGTCTAAATACGCATATCCGTGCCATCTAATGCTCAGTAAAGTTAATCTTTAAAAAACACTAATAATTTAATAACACTGTAAACTTGAGCAGAAATTTCTATTCTTTTTTCATACTGTACGTTAATGCCTAAATTCATTTGTAGATCTTAAACGATTGATCTTAGTATTTTATTTTTAATTTATTTGAACAAACTAGTTCAGACATCTGTCCATAACATAACCAATAAATCTGCATTGATGAGACTTTTAATATCTAAACATCCTTTGTACTTTTAGGATGTATTGTAAATGGATCAGTTATGATGAGCTCAGATCGAACGAACTGCTGTGTTTTTGTTTTCAGGTGATGTCCATTCACATCCATGGTGACGCTGCATTCGCAGGTCAGGGCATTGTCTATGAAACCTTCCATCTGAGCGATCTGCCCTCCTACACCACACATGGCACTGTGCATGTGGTTGTCAACAACCAGGTATTTGTGCACAAACAATTCCACGTGTGATGTAACATCCCCCACCAAATATCATCTTAATACACCTCTGCTTCTCTTTCTCAGATTGGTTTCACCACAGATCCTCGTATGGCACGCTCCTCGCCGTATCCGACTGATGTTGCCCGTGTGGTCAATGCCCCCATATTCCACGTCAACGCAGACGATCCTGAAGCTGTGATGTACGTGTGCAATGTGGCCGCAGAGTGGAGAGCCACCTTCCACAAAGATGTGGTGGTGGATCTGGTGAGAGAGTGTTTTTTGTGTCTTTAATTTACACTTGTCATGTTTTGGAAGTTTGTGACGTCAGTAAGGCAAATGACTTCTTTCCATTAGGTATGTTATCGCCGGATGGGCCACAACGAGATGGATGAGCCCATGTTCACCCAGCCACTGATGTACAAACAGATCAAGAAGCAGAAAGGTGTTCTTCAGAAATATGCTGAGAAGCTCATCGCCGAAGGTGCCGTTTCACGACAAGAGTATGAGGTCAGTCAGTTTTACCCAGATACAAGTTGCTGCCCAGTATCTTCAGCGGTCCACATAAAGTTTTTCTCATCTCTGTCCATAGGAAGAGATTGCCAAGTATGACAAAATTTGTGAGGAAGCTCATGCTCGCTCAAAGGATGAGAAGATCCTCCACATCAAGCACTGGCTGGACTCCCCCTGGCCAGGTGTGTATAAACACATATATTATTGAATTAAGAATTTCATTTCTCACATAAAACATGTATACAATAAACTTTCAAGAAGTATTTCAATATTAAACAAAGCGAAACATGTTCTGAACTACAAATCACTCCACATTCTTTACTGTACACTGATATTACCATATCTAAACTATTGTGTGGAGGTTTGGGGTAATACTTACAGATGCAGACTATTATCTTTATTTAAGTTGCAAAAAAGAGCCATAAGGATGATTCATGGTGTTGGTTATAGAGATCACACAAATGTATTATTTTTAAAATCCAAGACGTTGAAATTTACTGATCTGGTTTATGTTCAAACAGCACAAATAATGTATAAAGCAAAAAAATAACCTACTCCCTGGTAATATTCAACAACTGTTTTTTAATAGAGAAGGGAGATATAATATTAGGGGTGAGAGCAACTTTAAACAATTATGTGTACGTACAACATTAAAAAGTTTTTGTGTTTCGATATGTGGAGTGAAGTTGTGGAACAGATTAAGTTCAGTACTTAAACAATGGCCAAGTATGACTCAGTTTAAAAAGCATTGTAAAAATATGATATTTGAAAGGTATAGAGAGGATGAATATTATTAGTTAGGTGATAGTTTATTTATATATTTTTCTTTTTTTTTTCTCTCTTATTATTACTATTATTATTAGTTTTTTATTTATTCTCTCTTATGTAATTTTTTTTTTTTTGAAGATGTATATACACATAGGTAGATATGTATGTTGTTTTTGTTTTTGGTGTTTAGAGACAAATAGATCAAAATATTCGGTCAACCGGTTAATTAGTTATAATTAGTTGAAGATGGGGTAGGATTGAATAAGCTTATGCTTCTTCCTACTCCTTTTCGGACATGTATAAGTTAAAAAAAAATTGTTGTTGTTTTTTTTTCTCTCTCTTTGTTTTATGTATTGTTTTTTTGTTTTTTTTTGTTTTTTTTTTCTACATGTTCGAAATAAAAACTTTCATTCATTCATTCATTCATTGTTTTATTTACTATATATTTTTACCTTGATTTCATTATTCAAACACATATGATTCCTTCACAATAAGATTTATAATATGAAGTTATAAAATAATTTTCAATTTCCATTTTATCCCGACCTTAAGTTATTTATTAAACCTTACATGTGTAAAGATAGTATTTCCCTCTTTTATCTTTGGTTACATCTTGCAGTCACCAAGTGGGAGGTTCAGAATGAGTTGCAATATGTACTAGAATTTGTTGATAGTCGAAAAGAAAAATGCCCCCATTTTGTTGCTGCTTATTAGGAGCATATTCATTGTGTTTTGTTTGCAGGTTTTTTTACTCTGGATGGCCAGCCGAAGAGCATGAGCTACCCGTCCACCGGTCTGCCAGAGGAGGACCTGACCAACATCGGACTAGTGGCGTCATCAGTACCTGTAGAGGATTTCACAATTCATGGAGGTTAGACATGTGCTGACATATGGAAATATGATATCTCAATAATGAACATGTGGTATAGTTATCGTGGGCACTTTAAAATGCCATGAAGAATTACTTATTCAGATTCTTTACAATGGATTTTAAGAATACTTTCAACCGGTTAAAATGTATAATACTGCTTGTATGCTGCGTCAAGGAAGTCGCACACGCATTGATGTAAACAAGCCCAACATGAGCAACATGGCAGACAAGTGAAGGAGACGCACTGAATGAACATGCACATTCACTCTCTGACAGCAGATGGTGCTTATGGAACAACAGAAATGCAGCTGTTTCCCCTGTAACCACATAAACAAAAGAGTCATGTCACTTTGGCCCTGTCCCAAATGGCACACTTCATATGCACATTTGTGGTCGATATGCTCTTTTGATGCGCACTTTTGCTGAGCCCGCACTAATGTGAGCTTAACAGCAGACTTCTTCTTGACAGTCAAGGCGGCAAAATTAAACATTTTAATCTGGACTATAACATGTCCTAGATATTGATTGAAAATGTAACACTTTACATTAAGGCTCTATTAATTAACATTAGTTAATTTATTAGTTAACATTAACAATAAAATACTTCTAAGTATTTATTAATCTCAGTTAATGTTAGTTTCAACATTTAATAATATTGAGCTAACATTGATCATTGTATTTTTTAACTAACGTTATCAAAGCTTATTACACTGCTCTGTGGAATACTTGATTCTGATTGGTCAGTGTAATAATCTTTGATAACGTTAGTTAAAAGCTACAACTGATCAATGTTAGCTCAATATATTATTAAATGTTGAAACTAACATTAACGGTGTGATTGACCAATCAAAATCAAGTATTCCACAGAGCAATCATGCCGTCCAGCGTCCCGCTGAAAACAGGTAACACAGGCTCATCTTGTTTTCTGAAGTCAGCAGCTCTATACGCTTTCTAGGAACATTTTTCCTTCTGGCTGATGCAGGATCCCTCCGCTTCACGTCGGTGTCCTCATCACCCTGTTGGGGGTTATTCTGAGATAACAACCAGCTGGATGCACATTATCCCTTACATAAAATACTTCTAACGCATTGATTAATCTCAGTTAAAAGTGTTACCTATTCTTTATCATCCTTTTGCACTTTAATCTGTTTGTTGTTGTTGTTGTTTGTTTACTCTGAACATTTAAATACACAAACTATACACAAAAAGTGCAGTTATTTTTGTTGTAAGAAAAAAGTTATTAAACCTTTTATAGTATGACAACTTATTTGATACTGTCACATGCCTAATGGAGGTACGCTAGACATACAAAATAGTACATTAATATGCACACATTTCATGTTCTGTTACAAAAATGCTCGTCTTTCCTTTGTGTAAAGGTCTGAGTCGTATTCTAAAGGGCCGTGCTGAAATGATCAAGAACAGGATGGTGGACTGGGCTCTGGGAGAGTACATGGCCTTTGGCTCTCTGCTCAAGGAGGGCATCCATGTGCGTCTCAGTGGCCAAGATGTGGAGAGAGGAACCTTCAGGTATAAACAACAACATTCACAATCATTCAGTATTCAAAATCATTCAATCAATCAATTTTTAGAATTACCATAATAATATTATCTTTAAATGTAGATGTGTAGTAACGGCAGATCTTTCTGTTTGATAGACCTTTTTATTTTAGCCACTATTCAAATGCAGCATTATTTTGGATTTCAGCTCAGTGTAAGAGGTTACTGACCTGTTGTTTGTTGCATTTGCAGTCACCGTCATCATGTTCTTCATGATCAAAATGTGGACAAGAGGACTTGCATCCCAATGAACCACATATCCCCTAACCAAGCCCCATACACTGTCTGCAACAGCTCTCTGTCTGAGTATGGAGTTCTAGGTATTCAGATGCTCCATGCATGGTAAATTATCTCTGCAGTTAATTGAAGGTTGACGCTCTTAGAAACTTGTGTTTTCTTTCTTTTCTTCGTCCCTTAGGCTTTGAGTTGGGCTTTGCCATGGCCAGTCCCAATGCTCTGGTTCTGTGGGAGGCCCAGTTTGGAGACTTCCATAACACAGCTCAGTGTATAATAGACCAGTTCATTTGCCCTGGCCAAGCTAAATGGGTCCGCCAGAATGGCATCGTCTTATTGCTGCCACATGGCATGGAGGGGATGGTATGTCTGCATTACCCACAATTCTTATCTCCATGCTCCCCTCTCTCTATCTCTCTCTCTTTACACTCACCTGTGTGAGCTGGCTGTAAAGGAGTTTTGTTCCTTCACAGGGTCCAGAGCACTCATCTGCCCGTCCAGAGCGCTTCCTGCAGATGTGCAATGATGACCCTGACTTTAACCCTGTAAGACTGGCTACCTAACATGTCTCTAAGCGTTCAAATACAAAGATTTCATAGACATTCTCAGAGTGAATATGTACCTTTTATTTCGACTTCAGAAAATCACTGATGACTTTGAGGTGCGTCAGCTGTATGACTGCAACTGGATTGTTGTGAACTGTTCAAATCCTGCCAACTATTTCCATGTGATGAGGAGGCAGATCCTTCTTCCCTTCAGGAAACCTGTGAGTTCAGCTGTCTTGAGAGCATTTGTTAAAAAATTCATCTAATGCATTATTGTTGTTTAAATGAACAATTAGAATTTTAACTGAATTATTTATTCATTTTTTTTTTTTTTTTTTTTTTTTTTAGCTTATTATTTTCACCCCCAAATCTCTTCTGCGTCATCCGGAAGCCAAGTCTAGCTTTGACCAGATGCTACCAGGTCAGAAACCATTCTTTCCACTGCCGCATTTACGGAGAAATAAATGCGGCATAGATAAACAACAAATGAGAAGGAAAGTTTTCATTAGTGGTCAGCCAATATGAATTTTTTTGATAATGAGATTTTTTTTGCGTTTATAATTTTGGTCAGTGTGTATGTATATGTGTGTATTGTAACGCAAAGTTGATGTTGCCCAGATAGAGAGAAAAAAACAATAACTGTTACGTCAAGGTGTTGGAGGAAATCAGACGTCCGCATACATGTAGATCGAGTGGGAAAAAGTATACAAAACAAAACATCCAACTTTGGTCACACTACAAGAAAGAAAATAAAAGAAAGAATACAAAAGTTAGCAGAGCGGTTATCTCTCCTCCTCACCCATCAAATCTAACTGACACACATGCACATGCGCAGTTCTCATATTACATCATTAACATAAAATCGCAAAGTGACCGTTACAGTATGCGATCTGGGAAAACCCACCACATGGTGAAATTGGACACATTACAGGTTTTGAGACCCTATTAAAGCTGAGTTCAAAGCCCTTTCCAAATCTGTTTTTATTTAGATTTTCAGAAACTGAGTTTTGAGAAAAAACGGTTTAATTAACTGTTACGTCCTGTTAGCGGGACAACTGGCACTCTTTATTTATTGCCTTTTTAATATCTCATATTTTAGTAATAATCATAGATGAGGTACCATTCGAAAGCTCACAAACTCAAAATTCATCCTGTGAAAACCGTTTTGAAATTGGACGATTGAGAGGCGAGCAAGATCTTTTAAGCAAGCAGATTCAAACTCTGTTGTTCTCTTGTGCTCCGCATCAGACCACACGATAACACTGAATGAAAATAAATAAATAAAAACTTGCGTGCAAGCCATTGTAGTTCACCCAGGACTGGACTGTTCTAGTCCAGTCTGTTCTATTCTATGTGGTTTAGTTTGATAGGTGAACTGTCTTTGTAGTGTTAAGAGAAAGAGAGCTAAACGGGAGATATTGTCTTTTTGCCCCTCCACTCCGTCTGCGTGTTCTTAAAGAGAAACACAGTCTTTTCAGCTGGCCATTATAAATCGCTTTTTTTTTTTCATTTTCCCAAGATATATTCAGAGATGATAAACAAGATGTTATAGAATAATAATTTAATAAAAACCCAATTTTGACAAAAAACTGACATTCAATCTATATTTAGACTTTACTGAAAACGTACCAGCGTGACATCCGACGGGTTTTCCCAGATCACATCACACACACACACATACATACTTGCCCTGGCCAAGCTAAATGGGTCCACCAGAATGGCATCGTCTTATTGCTGCCACATGGCATGGAGGGGATGGTATGTCTGCATTACCCACAATTCTTATCTCCATGCTCCCCTCTCTCTATCTCTCTCTCTCTACACTCACCTGTGTGAGCTGGCTGTAAAGGAGTTTTGTGCATGCATCTCTCAGGGTGCTTTCACACCTGCCTCATTTAGTTCGGTTGAATCGCACTAGAGTTCGTTTTCCCCCTTGGTGCGGTTCGTTTGGGCAGGTGTGAAGACAGTAGGTAGAGGTATTGCGTCTATACTTTGTTGTTTATGAAGGGATTTGCATAAGGATAAAGCTTAAGAATTCACTCACAATGTATGTTCAGAAACAGCACGTCAGTCGTATTTTGCTCCTCTTTGTTTACTTCCAGGAGTTCTGTTGGAATATTCCCGCAAGTTAATTCTGACCAATCGAAGTGCAGTTATGGAAATATGTTCAAGACATATGTGGCCAACGAGTAATGTGGATGTTGTCACGTGACTATATTTTGATTTTGTTTCATCAACTGATTCTGACCAGAGCAATCAGTATGGTGTGAGAACGAACCAAAACCCCTGAAATGTGGCCAACGAGTAATGTGGATGTCACGTGACTATATTTTGATTTTGTTTCATCAACTGATTCGGACCAGAGCAATCAGTGTGGTGTGAGAACGAACCAAAACCCCTGAAAAATGCTACAAAGTATAATTTTTCACCTCTGGTCTGGACCAAATGAACCGAACTGCAGATGTGAAAGCACCCTCCGATATAACAGTGATACAGAGGGTTCAGAACAGGGCTATTTAATTGGCAATAAAGGTTGTTGGAGTGGCTGTAATGGATGTAAACCACTCCTGTTATCATGCTAATAAACGTCAAAATGCTTTTCTCTTCAGGCACTCATTTCCAGCGCGTGATCTCAGATGATGGACCCCCAGCTCAAAACCCCTCAGATGTGAAGCGCCTTGTCTTCTGTACAGGGAAAATCTATTACGAGCTCACACGTGAACGAAAATTACGCAACATGGAGAACTCTGTGGCTATCACTCGCATTGAGCAGGTACCATAATCTTCAGTAGAAGATCGACAGTGCTTGCTTGCCTGCATTCTTTCAGGAAAGGCCTATATATTGTAAAACTGATTCATACTTTTGCACCTCCCCAGCTCTCTCCTTTCCCATTTGACCTGGTGAAGGCTGAGACTGAGAAATATCCCAATGCTGACCTGGTCTGGTGTCAAGAGGAGCATAAGAACCAGGGATACTATGACTACGTCAAGCCCCGCATGCGCACCACCATTGAACGTGCCAAGCCTGTCTGGTAAACTCTCGTCTTCTCATATAGAGCTGTGACACTCCGGTTGCTCTATATTCTCACAAATCTTCACTGTGTCTTCCTGTGCACAGCTATGCTGGTCGTGAGCCTGCCGCTGCCCCAGCCACTGGCAACAAGAACACCCATCTTCTGGAGCTGAAGCGTTTCCTCGACACTGCCTTTAACCTGGACGCCTTCAAAGACCACATCTAAATCTGTCCTCCAATCAACAAGAATACAAAATCTCACAAATACCCCATTCACCCGGCAACAAAATACACTACACAAAACCATTATAATCATCCCATGAATAATAGTAATACATACTGTTTCTCCTGTGTTAAGTATCAGGTATCTGAGTTTTTCAGTTCAGTCTTTGTCACCATTGTTGCCCAGTTCAGCAACACCAAAATATATTAAACCACAGAAAATACAAATTCTTTTGCTTGAACAAATAAATAAACAGCACAAATTTTAATGGACCTAATGTATTTTCAACCAAAGTACTGTTCCAATCCTATTAAGAATCAGCATACAATATTGTCCCCAAACTCACTTTTTCTTAAGCTTTCATGTAGGGTTGTCATGATTTCTGTATGCTACTTGCATCCCAACTCTCAACTGCACTAAGGCTTTAATTTTTATGTTTTTTTTTTATTTTATTTTTATTATTTTGTTAGAATAAGGGAGAATGTTGGGACATGCATTTGCATTTTTTTCATTAGTGGAAAAGATTGTAAAGTAAGTAGGAAAAAGTACACTTTATCTGTACCTTTGCGCTGTTTTCTGATAAGACAAAAAAACAGTTGGTTCTTTAAAAGTGGATGTTGCCGTTGTTTGATTGTATTTATGTAAAAATGAATTTGTATTCAGGGAAGGAAAGTCTTGATGTCAAAATCAGAACAGTGTGGAAAATTCTTTACAGTATGTGCCTCTGTTCCCATCCAGTATCATCTATAGCATTGTATGCCCTGCACACTTGGCTAATCAGTGATGCAGCCTAGTGCAGCTAAAAATCCCTTCACAACCATCCTAGCCATCTGATAACTTGTGCCATACAGCCCAGCAGCAGGAACATTTCAAATGTAAAACAGAATTACACATTTGTGGTCGCTCTTTTAAATAAAAACCAATGACATCTTTTTGGCTTTTTCAAAGAAAAAGCAAATGATTTTATTTATTGTTTTTTTTTTTTTTTTTTTTTGAGGAATTTTTTTTTTTAGGTTCTTGTAATGGTTTAGCTTCATTCAATAAACTCATAATCTTCTCAAATGTCTGAAGTCATTTAATACTAGTTATGAAAAACAGGATTGTGTGTAATGACCAATGACCAAATTTGTTTAGGGATGACAACCTATGCTAATATAATCTTGTGGTTCTCAACCAGGAGACAAGAACCCACCAAGGTGCCTCAGCCTCTTAATATTGTGTTGAATTCATTCAAAAAGCCTGAAGAAGGCTGCTCTAGATCCATGGTTTTACTAGACGAGAAGACTTGTGTTTTTTTATATATTAACGACATATTGTACTATTTCTATATTATAAACCATACATGCATAAAGAGAAGCTCTAAACTAAACGCATCCTGATCCAGCTAATCAAGTTATTCGGGGTAATTTGAAAACTACAGATATGCGTGTTTGAGCAGGGTTGGAACTAAACACTTGCAGGACTGAAATTTTAACCCCCATGTTAACAGCAGAACACACACGCCGCATGCACAAATGCCCAAAAGCGCATGTCGATTGTAAATTCTCAATAAAGATATTTCATTGGTTCATATTTGTGTCTTTCAAAGCATCGACACGCTCTGATTGGACAGATGCAGCTTCGTGACGTCCCTTTCCTGTAATTATATAGCTTAGCGGCCTGAATGCGGTCTTTCCTCCGTTCCAAGGCAGCCAGAGACACGGTTAGCGCGCTTTAGCCTAGCATCATCTAAGCGCAAAATATTTTAAAGCCATGGCAAGGCCTAGAGTTTTCTTCGATATCACCGCCAACGGCAACCAAGTTGGAAGAGTGATTATGGAGGTAAAGTTCCACCCAATAATTCCACCTTCGCCTTATTGCAAGAAATAACTCCCATACATTTTTTCCTGCAACTGATCTCATCGATAGCCGCATGCGCTAGGCTACTGAATGAAATGCGCACCTAAACCCTACTGTGCTGCATAACTTTAATATCCGTGTACCGTTTAAGTGTTTTGCATTTCTGCTGAACAAATCTCATGATTCAGTTATGCTTAGCCAGTTTGTGAAATTACCTTGGCAAACCTATGTGGAACTGTTTGTCCCCTGTCTGTTTTTCATTAACCTAACGATGTTACACTTTCGGCCAAATCTACTTGCTGATTATTTCTATTTTAAGCCCATGTTAAAATTTGCGGCATTGTGCAGCGTAAGTTACATTGGTTATGTTGGGAACCTGGCAGTATGAAGGGTTTTAATGTTAGACTTCATCAGTCGGACATAAAATTGTTAACGTTATTTTCCATAGTGACGCTTTGAGGTATTTATTTGCATTAAACTCATTTTGTTATATCACTTCTTTGCAAATGAAGCTGCAACAATAAGCACGCGCCGCAGGCCGCTTGGTGCTGCTTGTAACGCTGCTAATATTCTTGAATGCTACCGAATAAGTTACTTCTCATACGAAGAGTATAACATAATGAGCAGAAACCGTGCAGTTCCAGCGCTTGCTTTGGGGAAAACTGCAGAAATATGTAACGCATGAGTGTGCATTTAATGAACAGGCCTCTGCTCTTTTGTTTAACCCAGATTCCCTGAAGGCGATTTTATTTTGCTCAGTCCAAACTTAGTTTAAACCCCAGGGAAACTCAAAACAATTTTTACAAGAAAGTTTCGGCTTTAGTGAGTGATTTATAAAAATTGTAAATCCCCTGTTTGCGGAACTCGCATCCTGCAATCTCTGTGGAAAGATGTTCTGGAAAGTTCGCCGGGGAGAGGGGGGGATGGGAGGATGCTGTCCTCGCAGCCTAGCGGAGATTTCCATACACTAGTCAATTTTATTTCATTACCGGCGGGTTTTTTTTACTTTATGCAGTTGTGATTTTGATTTTAACTAATTTTGAAATTAATTTGGATGAAGGAAATTTAAAGAACGCAGTGTTTTCACTCACCATTCCTTGCGTTAGTAAAAGTGTTTTCTGAGCGGCCATTTTAGTTCTAGTCTAACGTTAGTAAAACTTGGAAGTGTCACAAACGCGCGTGGTTAGGATAATTATGAGCACTCAAATATGTAACTTACTGTTGCTAAAATTTGTGCGAGCAAAACAATGTATAATGTGCTGCTCTGCCTTTAATGCCCAGATAATTTTGTCTTCCGCATTGTTTCGGTTTTGTCAGGCTGCAGTGCGGTCGCATGAAGATGGTCCACACAAGCTTGTTTCTAGTTTGATGCACTTCCTGTATGACGTAGTCACGCACTTGAACACATTATTGCAGTTGCTGTCATTCTAAATGTTTGCTCAATGTTTGAAATTGTTTGTTTTTTTGTTTTGTTTTTTACAGCTGAGATCTGATGTCGTTCCCAAAACTGCAGGTATTTATATATATAGAGCCCAAGAGGAAGCCACACTCCGGGTGGAGTGGGATTATATCAATTTAAATATATAATTATTACTTATTTTATTTATTTTTTTACTTGTTTTTTATTAAGTACCCATCACCTGTCTGTCATTTTGTAGAGAACTTCAGGCAGTTGTGCACAGGTCAGCCTGGTTTTGGCTACAAAGGATCCACCTTCCATCGTGTTATCCCCGACTTTATGTGCCAGGTATGGAAGTTAGTCCCAAAAGCGTTCTGTGGTCTTGGTAGATTTTTGATGTTCGGTTCTAATCTTGAGACCTTTGAATACAGGCAGGTGACTTCACAAATCATAATGGAACTGGTGGCAAGTCCATTTATGGGAACAAGTTTGAAGATGAGAACTTTACACTGAAACACACTGGTGCTGGCTGCCTGTCCATGGCCAATGCTGGCCCCAACACCAACGGTTCCCAGTTCTTCATCTGCACAGCTCTTACTTCATGGTGAGCAAAAGATTTGTGAATGACCATGCATTAAATCACTCCTGGATCCATGCTGTGGAGTATCCTGACCTTTTCCCCTCACTGTTTCTTTCTGCCAGGCTGGACGGCAAGCACGTTGTCTTCGGGCAGGTTGTGGAGGGCATGGATGTCATCAAGAAAGTGGAGAGCTATGGTTCTAGCAGTGGAAAGACCAGTGCCAAGATTGTCATTGCTAACTGTGGCCAGCTGTAAACGCCTCTACCACTAACATTCACCCAAACCCTAGTCTAGCCCAACCCCCCCGCCCCCCCCCCCCCCCCCTTAGTGCCCTTTCTTAAATCCTGCCGCTAACCGCATCATTACCATCCAAGTTCTACTACCCACCCAACCATGAACGCACCGCCACGTCCTTCAGTCGTCTATCTTTGTCTGAGTTGCCTTTGTTTTGTTTCCATTTGCAGATCAAGTCCTGTAGGCCTTTAATTTGTATCAAAGTCTGAAAATAAAGGGGAACAATGATAAACTTATACCTCTTTCAATTTCTCATTTTTGCTTGAGACTTAAGTCTTGTTGCTTCTGATTAATATGCAAGCCAACTTGAGTGACCTTTTTGATTTGGCTTTTTATCAACTTTTCTGATCCAGCTCATAAGTCTAGTAATTGGTGAAGTAATGTATTTAGGGGTACAGCGCTAACTGAATCCGGTGTTGAGTTAACAGACTTTCTCTCCAGGAAACTTAACTCGATTCTTCAGATGTATGACATTGTGTGGCTTTAAAAGTGTGAATATACCATGTGGTGTGCAAGTATAAAAAGAGCCATGGTCCCTAAATAATGTTTGCTAAATGGAAGAGACCTGCTAGAATATTAACTTGTTTTTGGGTGAACCATTTATTGAAGCTTTGTTTTGTTTAATATTTTGGCATTCACTTGCAAAACCTATGCGTTCCACCAAGGAACTTTTTGTGTTCCCTCAATTTCAATGCTTTTGCAAGGGAATGCAGAGTTTCCTGGTGGAACATATTACATTTCCAAGAGGATGCAAAATCATTGAATTTTTTTTTTCTTTTATATATATATATATATATATATATATATATATATATATATATATATATATATATATATATATGAAGAGTTCAGATGCAAAAGCCTCTAAGTGCCATTTGAAATTTTCTTCTAGAATGATCATTTTTATCAAGCTTGTATATTTAAGTTCAGTAATTTCACTTAAATTGCAATGAGGATTACCTATTAATTGTCATTTAAGTGAAATTACTGAACTTGAATATATAAGCTTGATAAAAATGATCATTTTAGAAGAAAATTTCAAATGGCACTTAGAGGCTTTTGCATCTGAACTCTTCATATATATATATATATTACCGTAATACCTACTATTGTGACCTGTCTGCAACGTCTTAACCCTTAATCACTGTTTGGGGTAAATATGACCCCACTGGACTTTTCCTTGATATTTTTTTTTTTTTTTTAAATGTTCCCTTCATCTCAGGGACATGAAACTCTGTGACTTTTCCTACATAATCTAGCTAAACATGCATAAACAACTGGGCTTGATTTGGTTGTTCTAAAGGTGTGTAAAAAAATTACCATTTAAGCTGTTTGGGGTCAAAATGACCCCACATTGAAAAGGAATGGGAAAATGAAAAAAAAATGTTTTTTTTGATTGTCAAAAAATTAAAGTAAATCCATTATAAATCTGAAATGTTCCACATATTGTATAAACCAAGGTCTGGTCCTAGAGCATAAATAGAAAGTAGAACAAACTTTCTATCTCATGCGCACGCACACACAAACACACGTCATGACTGCAACAGAGAGCATTTTTGCAGAAATTGGCAAATAAAACAAACAAAACTGGCATAAATCTAAAAAAAAATACATTTAAATCAAGGTCTGATCCTAGAGCATAAACAAAGTGGAACAAGCTTTCTATCTCACACACAAACACACACATGTATGCATCCTGTTCATTACAGTTTATTAGTGCTGTTTTGTATTATATTGGTTTATTTACTTGGTTTATTAAATTTATTTTGTTCTAAAATGTCTTGTTCAAAAAAAAATAATAATTGTTGACAAATAATTTTCTAAAATGAAGTGTGTGTATACACTCATGTCATAGTGCTGACTTGTAATATTTATGCAAATGTATGTATACTGATTTGCATAAACAAATAATTCAAAATATATCAGACAACAACAAACTCTAATTTTGACAAAAATATTTTGTGCAATTCACAAAATATATATGATTGTGCAATTCACAATATATATATATATATATATATATATATATATATATCAAGTTGTGAGGAGAATTTGAAGCATCAAGAAAAATGAAGTGAAAATGAATGAGTCTCTATGGACCCCTATTGGATAGATGTGGTCATTGCACTTTAATTCCTTAACTATAAGAAAAACTGATGGTATTCTATCCCTAACACATAGAGCAATGTCCAAAAACTATTTAGATTTAATTATCATCATAATTTAAGTGTTTTTTCTTCAAAAAATGTGCCGATTTCTTCATGTGCCGATTTAAGGCCTAGTTATGTAATTGTGCAGTAAATAGGTAGAAAACTTAAAAAATTCCAAAAATAAACAGCATAAATGATTAGTTGTGAAGTGAATTTTAAAAATGATATATAGTTTTCTGTATTAAAAAAATGTTTATTTCCTCACGCAATCACTCTTTAAAAGTCTGGGGTCAAAATGACCCCAAACACCTTAAGTGTTGTCCTTTTTTAAGAGTGATTAAGGGCTAGTATTGTATTCAAGCATAGTCTCATAGCAATACTATTCACTCAATATGGCGTCAGGTCTGGCTCAGCACAGGCTCAGCACAACACCGGTTACAAAAATATAGTTGTGTAATTGCTGTAAAAATGCTTCTTTTTTTTTTTTTTTTTGCTACCTCTGAACAACAATTAACAGTGTGTAAAGACATCTAAATGCCATTTTAAAAGCACTTTATTATAAATTTGGCAAAAGACACAGGAGAGATGCAGTACTGATAGACTTCCAGGAGGAGTGTTCGGAAATGCCAAGGACAAAGACAAGACTCAGCAAACTTATTCACCTAACAGAGGGCGCTCGAGGCTCAGCTCGAATTTTTGTACAGATTTAAAGGCGCAGGAAAAGAAAAACAAAGCCACATTTTGCACTTTCTTCAGCGTGTTTATGTTACCTTTTTGTCCTTTTGTACTTCTACACATTTTAAAAGCAAATTAATTATATAATTGATATAACATACCCGTGTCCGTTTAGTATCTCGCTAAATTCTCATTTAGAACACGTAATATTAAAATGTTCAGAAAAGTAATATTTCACGCAAAGTTCCATAGATGTCTGTGAACAACCAGTCCCTTTAGGACCTCTGATCGGGATGGCACACTCCCTGTCCGCGAGGGCCGTCGGGTAGCGCGCGGCAGGACAGGCTCTTCTCGCAGTCGCAGCGGTCCAGTCTCCGGCGGAATTTGGCGCGCCCCCGCAGCAGGCAGACCTCGCCCAGAGCTGGCACGCGCTGACACCTCCTGCCAGTCAAATACAAGGCGCAGCACAGACCCTCCTCACAGTCGCGCGAGCGCACGCACGGGGACATCTCGGGCACTGCAGGCAAAATAATTCATATATAAATAGGGGCAGTAAGGAAACTAAATGAACCACAGCAGTCAAACCAAGGCGATTTTAAGCTTTTCTATTTTTCAATGCTTTGAACAACAAAACAATGCCACAATACAGCATAGACTATATTTTAGAGCCTGTGGACCATGGAAGTGAAAAAAATGTATACAAAAAAGTTTGTTCTTTTTCTAATTGAAATCAGCCGCTTGGCCGATGTGACTTTTATTTTGAAAGCGTTGAGAATGCGTTCCACTCGTGGTTCCACGATCCACCTATGGTTTCCACTCCAAATTTGCATGCCCTTCATCTCGTGAACTTGGATGTGCGGCATTGCTTATGTTGCCCGAATCAAATGGCCACTACTGACGAAACTTGTGCATAAGGTAAATGAAACACTAAGCCCTTGATCACTTGGAATTCACTATGGAGCTGGTTTATTATTTAAACCCCTCTTTTACTTATGAATTTGTTTTATGCACCATGCTATATGTACATAAGTTGTTGAAGAAAATATATAAAATCCTATTGCCGTTAAATAACCCAGACAGAGTTGGCCCAAGTCTGGCCTACATCTGCTGCACGTGGGGTTATGCTTCCTTTTACAGTCCAGTTACCCATGTAAATACTTATTTTAGTAACTACAATTACTGGGTAATAACTAGTACTAACCTTGAACCTACCCCAAAACCTACCCTTGTTCCATGTACTTACCTTATATTAGCCAGTACTTTCTAGGTAAGTAAACCTTACCTTATATTAGCCAGTACTTTGTAGGTAGGCTGAGTACACTGTAAGTACTGTACTGTAAAAGGAAGCGTTACCGATTCCACACGGCCCAGTTGTGGGCCGGATCTAGGTCGACACTATGTTGCTGTCTGTGAAAATGACACAACTGAAAAACAAAACTAAAATCAAAAGTAGATAAACTTTGACTGTGAATATATGGCATTATGTGATTAAATCTAAACATAATGAATAATTATGCCCTATTAAGTGATTAATTCTCAAAATAAGTAAAATATTATAGCCTACACTTCAGTTAAACGTGATCTGCAGTGACGTCACAGTCAAGTTGAATTATGGGATATAGACCTGCTTGAAGTGTACATTGGAGTAGATTCGCTCCCTCGGTGAAAATCGAGGTGATAAGGGTCTGCCCATATAACCTTCCCGTTCACTTCTTGAAGTGTAAAGGTAACACACTTTAAAATGGCAACATAGATTCCCCCGAGGGGAAGTGCTTAGGGAAGTTTGCGAGTGCATGTCTAAAAGTGGAGTGGAACTCAATCTGTATTAGTTTACTTGAAATTTTTAAAAATGTACTTTTCACTTTTTACATTTCAAAGTGACATACTATATGCAAAGTGACATATATAACATCAAATAAGGCAAATGTAGACACTTAAAAGTAGACAATTCAAGGTTTCTATCTTCATGTCTGTGCGAGACATTTTATTCTGCTGAATTTTGGCTCTTTTTTATGTGCTTCTGGAAGAAGTTCATGGACACCGAAACAGCAAGCATATTTGTTTTCTTTATTTTAAGAAAGTACTACGCTTTGCTGTTATTTTCAAGATACACAAATAAAAATAGACATTTTACCATTTTGAATGATGCCTTACTCTTATCTGAAAGAGTATTTTAAGTTGTTGATATGATCCAAGCTATCACTCCGGCACCTCATGCCCCCACACACACACACACACAACATATCAGTTCTTTGCTAAGTTCACTTTGCTAACATGACATGACATCGCAGCCTCTTATGAGACAACTAAACATGAAAAAGTTGTTTGTTACTCAATTTAATTTGCCTGTACAATATATAGGCCGTGTTGCTCAGCATGAGCATGTCGTGGTGTTATTTCAAACACATTTTGTGCGTATGTGATGGATGCAATGAGGACCGTTTGCACCAATAAATCTTTGGGTTTAATCACGATATCCTTGATTTAAAGCTATGCTGCGCTATATCCAATTGGTCACTATGTTCTATGGAAAATTACATAATTACAATTACTGGAAAATTAGTGCTACTTTGTCTTTATTTGAAATAATTTTAATCCCAGTGCATTCAGACTTGCTGTAAGATGTACCATTGCTTACAATGTTTACTAATAGCCTACTATAATTAGCCAGTAATTAGAATGAATATGAAATGAATACATTTCTAATTTTGTAAATATTAAGTAAAATAAATTATACATTGAATTTCAGCCAAATGTTGTTTGTGTTTGTACTATCTTTAAAATAGTGTGATATCGGCCATCATCCCCCCCTGCCCTCTGAGATATCAAAAAATATACTCTCGGCCATAAAAAAAAAAAAAAATCAATATTGGGTGATCACTATTCTTTCTTCCCACATAGTTCAACCTGAACTAACCATGAGCCATACCTTTGTTACTGTATTTATTAACATAATGGACATACAGCTGTTCATTGTTTGTTAATGTTAGTGCATTAACTAATGTTAACAAGATTCTAATAAAGTATTAGTAAATATTGATATTAACATTAACAAAGATTAAAAAAAGGCTGTATAAGTGCAGTTCATTATTTTTTCATGCTAATTAATATAACTAATGTTAACTTATGAATAACTTTACTGTAGATATATCCTGTTGTTGACACAACAATGTTCACCCGTGAAGAGGTTTTACATAAATGTCTGTCCTGAACTTGCAAGAATGGGGAAAATGTCTTATCATAATCAATACCTGACCAAAAGTATAATTAAAAAAAAAGTAGGGCTGCCAAATGATTAATCACGATTAATCACATCCAAAATAAAAGTTTGTGTTTACATAATATATATGTGGGCGTACTGTGTATAATTATTTTGTATGTATATAAATACACACACATGCATGCATATTTAAGAAAAAAATATTATTTATATATAAAATATTTATATTTATATATAATATAAATTATATATAAATCTGTATACAGTATATACATGGAAATATTTCTTAAATATATACAAGCATGTGTGTGTATTTATATATATAAAATAATAATACACAGTGCACCCACTTATATTATGTAAACACAAACTTTTATGTTGGTTGCGATTAATCGCGATTTATCATTTGACAGCCCTAAAAAAAATATGACTTTAAATCTCTCTCCTCACCTTTTTGACTTCCTCGCCCATCCAACTGAATCTTTGTCTTGGCAGCATTTTGCTGTTTTTTCTTGGAGCCTTTGCATTCAGGTGCCTTGTGAAAGACAATCATTTTAATCAACCTTTCATTTCTGAAAGAATGTCCATTTAATGAACTTGAATATGCTGACAGATCAAATTGAATGATAAATAAAATGATAAAACATGAATGATACTAAGCTGTCCAAATGAGGCATGGTCAGACATAACTTCAAAATATAATGTTGAATCAAATTGGAAGGAATCTTACTTGAAAAGATGTGCATTCTTGTGAAGTTTCTCTGATTCCTTGGAGACCTGAGGTTCTTCTAACAGAATTATGGGAATTTGCCACTGTGTCACTCTGTATATGCAATATTGACTGGAAGAGATTGTTGAGCTCATGTCAAATAGATTTTAACTAAAGCAATTACAAGTTTTGAAAGTGCAAATACGTAATGGACAATAGGCATAGAAACCTTCTTTTATGACACTAATATCATAGTTGTATGATTTTGTTCCAACATAAACATATGAAGGCACATCAAAATGTTTTAAGGGTTTAAGAATGTATATTCTTACCTCTTGAGAGTTTGTCATTTCCCTGGAGGAGTGGATAATGTTGGAATCCAGGCATTGTACTGCAGAAATAACAGACAGCCAAAACATAGCAATCAATGTCTGCATTGTTGAATCAAAACTGTCCTGACCACAAAGAGCCTGTGCGCAAGAGCAAGACCTTAAGCTCTAGTGTGGAAGAGCAACCTCTCCTGTGTTTTAATGGACCTACGGCAATTACCCAAATTAAACGTTGGGGGGGGGGGGGGGGGGGGGGGAAGAAGAGAAGAAAGGAAGGGTCTTTCATTAGTGGTTAGTTTCTGAGTGTTCTAATGTTTATAGTCTCAGCTCATGTAGGAAGTGTGTAGTGCATTGCAGTGGCAATTAAGGCAAATTATGGCCTGTACGCATAACAAACATGAAAGCTTGGATGTACCTTTAATGGCACGTGAATATCCACATAGACCCTTTACACATGTAACACCTTTGAAACTTGTTATGATGAAAAATTTACATCCTTTAAATGACAGCCATCATGTAACCGCATCAGTAGACTCGGATGTAAGTTGCTTCCTGCAACGGAACAGGTGATTATCTACACCTTGAATGCTGGCTTAGGGGGGAAACTCAAAATCCATGTTTCTCACCGGACTAGGAGGAAGATGATAATAACAGTGCCGATTTGAATATGTTTAGTCAATAGTCACAAAATAAAAATGTCTTGTTCAGCTAAAACATTTATGTCATGTTAACTACAGATTTATTGCTCAACAAATTATCCCTAGTAACAAGTTGCTTTAATTTGTCATAACCTAATTCGTACATACAGCTTTACATGACTTACCTGTTTGTCTATCTGTGTCTGTCCGTCTTTCTCTCTGTCTATCTATTTCTTTCTGTCTGTCTGGTGTCTTGAAACAAAAAACAACAACTATGACCATATTTATTAAATAAACTAAATATGACTAAACATTATTCATTCCTGATAACAAATATACAAATATGTCCTCATAATGGTTTAACCAAAGGACATTTTTCTGTAGTTCAATCAACATTTAAAATACAATTTGTCTGAATTTGTTTGATTTTTGTTTAACATTGTATGTCTATCTTTTTTTCTTTTTTTTTTTACTTTTCCAAGAAATGTCACTATTACTGCTAATCCAAGCAGTCCATTTTAAACCAATAATACAAATGTCCCCACAAGGATAGTAATATCAGTCATCTTTTAGTTTTTTGGTCACCATGAGGAAAACAGCTTAACATTTGAAGACATAACAATGCTGAATGTGTTCTGTGAGGGTTGTGTTTAGGGGTATGATATACAGTTAGGATATAAAGGGGATAGAATACAGTTTGTACAGTAAAAGCCATTATGTTAATGGAAAGTCCCCATAAACATGGAAACCCAACATGTGTGTGTGCGCATGCATGTCTGTGTGTGTGTGTGCACCTGTGTGCTCCTGTGTGCGTGCGTGTGTGTGTGTGTGTGTGTGTGTGTGTGTGTGTGTGTGTGTGTGTTTGTGTATTTGTGCTGAACATAGGGCAGGTGATGGAAGATCACCCACCAGTCTTCAAACCCTCAGGCTGATTTATAAAAGCCAGCCATGTTAGACAGATAGACAGAGCAAAAGCAAACTCCAAGCCCTTTAGCATGCATAAGCACATCCTCATATTCATCTTAGTGTTATCTAGTATTATAAATATAATATAATAGTTTTTGTTAATATTTTGAATTATTTATTTTTATATGTTCTGTTATTTTGAATTTTAGTTTAAGTTGTATTAATTTAGTTGTGTGTTTGTCATATTAGTTTTTTATTTATTTAAATATTCCTGTATAGTTTTTATTAAGTTTTAGTTTTTATGTTATATATATGTATATATAAGTATATGTTATGTGTTTAATGATGGATTTTGTTGTATTTCTTTTCAGCCTCGTATCAAAAAACATGATTAGTAATTGAGAAATGCAAGTATAGCTGAAAAAAGGTTATATTTTATTTCAGTTCAGTTAATGTTCTTTTTATTTCTTAAGTCATGACATTTTTTTAATGGTTTTAGTTATATTAATAAACCTGATCATGTGTGTGTGATCTTGTTTTAACCTACATTGTGAGGACCAAATCCCCCTCAAAGATAGAACAATGTGAAATTTTTGACACAGTTGGTCCAGCCCTGCAAGGAAAACAGCTTATTAAACAGTAATGGTTTTTGAAAATGTAAAAATGTAGAAATATTTTCTTTTTGATGGGTATGGGTAGAATTAGAGGATATACCGTATAAATAATGTCTGTGGAAAGTCTACATAATGATATAAAAACTAGTTTGTTTGTGTGTATGTGTCTCTCTATTTTGGGGGACAAATTTGTATCCAGAAGCAAAACCTGATAAAATCTCCAAAAACCTCCCTTTAGGGACGTCCTCATTTGTAAATCTGGTATAAAGTAAATACATTTTTTTAAATGTAAAAATGCAGAATGTTTTGTGTTATGGGTAGGTTTAGGAGTAGTGTATGTCGTATGTGTGTGTGTGTGTGTGTGTGTGTGTGTGTGTGCGTGCGTGTGTGTGTGTGTGTCTGTGTGTGCGCGCGAGCGTGCATGTTTGCGTGTTTGAATTACCAGAGATGGCACAGTAGGGCAAAGGTAAAATCTGTTGAGTCATTTAACATTTTCCATAGATGTTCTGTGGCTGAACGAACATTAAACAAAGGACATTAAACTGACACAGGACACTTACGATGGATCTGTAATCAGCAATTGTCACTGACTTTTGATATTATTGGTAAGACTTTTGTATGACAAACAATGAACAATCACCATAGGTTTCATATTTCAACAATTAGGTTGCTTTTGTTAACCTGACTGTGTAAGTAGCAGCTGATTTTGTGTGTTGAGGCTGGATGAGAGATCACAGATAAAGGCTCATTGTGATGAAAAGAAGCCTGCAGGTCATTCACCTACCCAATAAAGAACAGCAGATGCACACAATTACTCTTGTTATGACGCAGTGTTTGTTTGTGTGTGCGTGTACATGTCTACTCTGTATATTTCCCTCAACAAATCCCATGCAGCAGTGGACACAGCCACCACCCTTCCTTTAGCAACACCCACAAATCCAACAACCGACCCCTGCATCACGTACACCTGAATACACTGAATACACTCCTGCACTGGAGAAGAGAATGCATCCAAAGGTAAAACTTTATGGATTATGGATTACATTTTGTTATAATGTCAGGAAAGTATATGTTATGTGCTTTATGATGGATTTTGTTGTATTTCTTTTCAGCCTCGTATCAAAAAACATGATTAGTAAAATACTAATGGTTAAGTAAAAAAAAAAAAAAATGAAAAATTTAATAACCCTTAATAACTGTTGAATGTTTGGGAACACAAAATGGTAATGTGGAGAGGTTGAGTGATTGCTGGATAAAACAATAAGGAACTGACAATTGTTGCAAGCGTGGTCTCAGTTAACAAGTATTGACTTTAAGTGTTGACTTGTGGATCGGCTCTTTGTTATATGTGCGTGTGGCTGTGAACAGGAGTCATGTTCACCAAGGATGTTTTTATTTGACCAAAAACTACTAGAAACAGCAATATTGTGAAACAGCATTGCAATTTTATTTATTTATTTAATTTAATTTATGCAATTTATTATTGGGGTGGCAAAGCTGAATTTTTAGCATCATTACTCAAGTTTTCACTGTCCAATAATCTTGTTGAAATCATTCTAAGATGCTGTTTTGGTGCTCAAGAAACATTTATTATTATTATAAATATTGAAAAGAGTTGCGCTGCTTAACATTTTTTTTTTAAAACTGTGATACATTTTCTTTACGAATTCTTTATTGAATAGATAGTGCCAAAGAAAATCATTTATTTGAAATATGTATTTTTTTTAAATAATATAAATGTCTCAATTTATTGTATCCTTGCTGAATAAATGTTATTACATTACTTAAATTAAATATATATAAAAGTTTTATTTTTGAAGCGTGAATACAATGGGATAAAGCTATAGCTGTAGTATTCTTCACAGCATATGACAGAGGCATATTATCATATTATCAGTATAGCATGTATTCTGTTCTAGATTTGTAGTGTAACTGTTTTATAGTTATGAGTAGTCAATTGCCTTTTATTTTCTTCAATTGTACTGTAATGTGCTAGAATTAGTCTGGCATATGGGTTAATTTGACCCAGCATTTGAGTACACTACACTATATAACAAATATGTAGTTGAATCAACCCAGAATTGTAATTAATTTGACCCAGCATTTGGGTACGCTATATAACAAATTTGTAGTTAAATCAACCCAGAATTTTATTTAATTTGACCCAGCATTTGAGTAGAAATGAACAACTCATCTGTTGGGTTAAAAATGACCGACCCATCTTGCTGGGTCAAATTAACTACTGTTGGGCTGGTGCAATATTGATCCAGCGGTTGGGTTATAAAATAAACCAAGTTGGGTTATTTTTAACCCATCATTTTTTAGAGTGCAAGACAAGAAAATTGTAACAAGTCAAAAACACAAAATACTAGGCTACCCATTTTTCCAAGGGCAATATAGATAAGACATTGACAGTTAAAGATAAAAGGAGTGTTTTGAATCACTAAGTCTGTTCCTCATGTGCCCTACAGCAGCTGTAATCATATTGTTGAAACTCAATCAAACAGCACGTAATTCATGCCCTGCCGAAAGAGCCCATCATGAACAAACCTGTCCTCAAAACAGAAGACTTAATGGAGACCTGAGCACTGTTACAATTACTCTATTTTCAATACCTGTTTGATGTTTGTTGAATGTGAATTAGATCAGGAGTTCTCAAACTTTTAGGTTATCTCTAAACATCCAAGTACTACCCCTTGTGTCAGCAATCTTCCTTTAGAATTATTTTAAAAAATTTCCTAAGGATGTGAGCAATATGCCATTTGTCATTTTTTTTGTTCATGTAATATTCTTGTAGTTTAGATAAATCGCTGAGCTGCAACATGATGGAGCTGCTATTTATATATATATATATATATATATACTGCTCAAAAAAATAAAAAGGGAACTCTTAAACAACACTCAAAATGTACAAACAAGAAAAAAAGTATTTAATAAGATTATTTCATTCATTCAGATCTATGATGTGTTATTTTAGTGTTCCCTTTATTTTTTTGAGCAGTGTATATATATATATTT